TAATATAGTTACGGATGTGCAGTTGATGAGGGAATCTGGTGATGTACAGGTTAATATAACTGATATTGGTGCCTCGGATCATTTTCTAGTGTGGCTGGAGTTGGGCAGGGTTACGAAGTGTTGTAAAAGGCAGAACAGAAGCGGACAATAAGGAAGTGGCGTGTACACATATTCTTGGATGAGGGGGTTAAAGCAAAGTATAGGGAGGCCTTGAAAGTGGAGGTTGAATCATTTTCAGAGAGCATGAGGGAGAAAGAGAGTGAGGGTATTAGTGGAAGTGGGTTAGTCAGTGCAGTTGTAGAGGAGTGGGAGCAAGTTGTAAAAAAGGTGGCAAGGGCTGAGGTAGGAGAGAAGGTAGTAGTGTGTGGCAGGGCATTCAGGTGGTGGGATGACGAGATTAAGCAGAAGATTAATAGAATATCCCGTTTATTATCATACAAACCTGAAATCCAAAACTATTTCCTATGCTTTCCCATACATTTTACTCCGTTTTATAGAATACGGAGTCATATCCAGCCTATTACCACAGCAATTTTGGTTTTTGCCCACATATTGTCATTATTGCACATGAGTAATTAGGCATTCTACAACCTTGGGCTAGAGTTTGCAACTCTCCATTGTCCACCTGGCTGTCATTAGCTTATGAAAACAGCTAGGCTAGCCTAGCTTCATTAGCTTAGCTAAACAAACTGCATTGTGTGCTATATAGTTCACAATATACATTGGTATACACAGTATACACACCGCGATTATACATAGTATACCCCGCCGCTGTATTATAGAATATCCCGCATATTATCGTATTTTTTGGATGCACCTCTGGTATGATATTAACCGGGGCCCACTGTACCATCCAACTCACCACTCAGTAGCTCAGATTTGATCTTGGTACAGTTGCCATACACATTCACTGCTCCCCACAGATGGTCGTTTACTGGCAGACCAGATGCAACCTTTATATGTGGAAAAGGAAGAGAGACAAGATAGGGGATGGTATATAATAAATGGTACACATAATTATGTACACATTGTGAGCATGCTGACACTCCCCGAGCCTGTTATGCTACCTTTTTCACATGGCGTCCATCGAAGAAGACATGAAGATCACCACTAGCAGTGAGAAGAAGTCCGACTCCTTGATGAGGTTTGAGAATGCTGAGATCGGGAAGACCTGAAGACAGCTCCCTCCCGTTGCGCCATAATGTTATGCCCCCATAGTTCCACTCATGGTGTCCAGACCCATACGACAGTAGGTAAGAAGGCACCACATCAGGTAGAGTGGCAGTCACTCCAACAGACTGAGAAAATATGTAATCACATCACATAAAATAGTACAGTCACTGACTAGGAAAAATTTATTAGCAACTCTCAATAGTGCAGAGAGAACTAGCATAATTATTATGGAAAGACTTTAAAAATTGACGTTGGGTAGTTACTAATGTCATTAATAATTGAGAATGAGATGTGCAGTACATATGTTTTGTTATACACTACAAAAAAGGCAAGAGGTTGCAAGGTAAACCTAATATAAATGCAAACAGCATTCTATCATGTGGATGTGAATAAGTGTGACATGTGACTGTAATGAATATCAGTTGTCACACCCACTGCTACATACCATAATACACAGAATAAAGAGACATGTGCCTAAACAGTAGTTAGACACAATCCTATCTTGTCACGTCACCTTAATTATAGACATGGAGAAAATCATTAGGACTTTGTAGGCTGTGTGTAGTGTGTATGGCAAAGTACTGGCTGCATGGAGTGTGTGTCTGTGTGTGCAGTGATCACAAACAGTTGCTCTCTCTCCCTCCCTCCCTCCCTCCCTCCCTCTCTCTAGAGCGTTTCCATGGAAGATCTAGGAGTGACAACTAACACTAAGTCTTAATCCAGGTTCTGCCAAGGATGAGAGAGACAACCACAACAAAGACACTTGTACATTTGCTCTACTGCAGAAACAAACCTTAGTACATGTGAGCACTTGTTTATTAAATTATGTCGTAGAAACTTACATTAATTTTACTAAGGGCCGTTAATTACACCACACAACAAAAAGTATGTACAATTATGTCGTCATGATTGGGTGGTGGGTAGCTCATTTCCAAGGACCTCTGATCTACCAAACAATAGAGTGAAGGAGAGGATGACATATTGTCCCACAAGGCTGTCATGTTCATAATTGGTAAGCAAGGTAAAGCCTATATACCTAGACTTCTGAATTGGCCACAATACACTAAACAGATTCTTGGTACTATACATACAGTAATGTAGTTACAAAATGCACGCGTTGCATTCGTCAACTCATGTACTTTACACATTACTTACAAACGGAAATTGAATATGAGCTCAAAAGACATGATCACTCATATTAGAGGAGGATCCTGCGTACACAACTGTTACAAACTGTAGCTGTCATAGTGGAGTTGTGTTTACTGGTCTTTGTATAGGAGATTTGTTACACATCCACTCACCAGTCCATCCCTCCACCCAGTGGTAGTCTCGAGGACGGTGGTCTGCCACACCTGCCCTGGAGGCAGGGGATGGACTGTGTAACAGACACAATCACCCACGTCGACATCAGGATATGGCCGCCGCTGGACGATGGAGTTGTCACTTGATAACACTGCGTTCTTTCCGCACTTATTCCCACTGAATGGAGCAGGAGTGGCGATCCAGTCAGAGACGTCCGCTGCCACTGACATCTCGAGAGAGACGTCGTGGGAAGTGAGGTGAGGTATGTAGCGAGGAGGAGGAGGGGCTTGTTCGGAGTGATGTGCGCTAATTGGAAACTCGCTTGAACTATATACCAGCAGAGCCAACCCAGGAAAGCCTCTGGTAAAGATATTGAGACGCTTAGCAACAAATGTAAGGAGAAAGGAGGAGAAATAGGCGGTGAAAAAGGTTGTTGAAAGTCTATCTTGGCAGAGCGAAAGAGCGAGAACGATGGACGGCAATTGATTTCGATACATGACAGAGGAAAGTGATGGAGAGGAGCAAGTCAGGCAGTATAAACTTCCCTGGAGGTCGGAAGGTAGGTTAGTTGTATTTGCTGTGAGTGCTGTACTGTATCACTAATGGATTCTCCGTTCTCTACAGTGCTGAATCGTCTTGTGAAAAAGCTAGGTGCAAGGATAGAGAAGAACGAGGAGGCTGGGGGTTTTAAATCAAAAGATAAACTTCTATCATGTTTGTCTCTGCTGGAGCCACCGCCAGATGCTCCTGATTGGGCTGTCCAGCAGTCTTAGATCTTCCTGCGCTTTGTAGGGGGGTGTGCGGCGACATGACTGGGTAGGCTTTCAGAAGGTGCTCTGTAACTACCCGTCGTAGCCTCTCCACGCGGTCGTGGCATGGGTTTCGGTGCCTTTGCTCTATCCTATTGAATTCGGCATGGATGCTCTCTGCCCCTTGCTCGCCCATTACCCCGAATCCAACTCCACCCCACTTGCTGATCCAGGGTGCCATGTGGTCCTCAAGGAGATGGAGCTTGGGGGTCACAGTTGGGGCCGTGTGGGTACATGTGGGTATGTCTGTCTGTAGTGCTGAAGGAAGGTCTTTATGTCTGTTTCTGCAGATTGAATACTACGTTCCTTGCATCCATTCCTGAAAGAGTTCCGTTACAACGCCGTACATGCCGTTTTCATACAGTGATATCTTCCTTGCGCATGCGTTAACAATAATACTGTTCACTTCAAACACATGCAGGTAATGGCAAGTCTAAGACTGCTGGACAGCCCAATCAGGAGCATCTGGCGGTGGCTCCAGCAGAGACAAAAATGATAGAAGTTTATCTTTTGATTTAAAACCCCCAGCCTTCTCGTTCTTCTCTATCCTTGCACCTAGCGCTTTTTCACAAGACGATTCAGCACTGTAGAGAACGGAATCCATTAGTGATACAGTACAGCACTCACAGCAAACACAACTAACTTACCTTCCGACCTCCATGGAAGTTTATGCTGCCTGACTTGCTCCTCTCCATCACTTTCCTCTGTCATGTATTCGAAATCAATTGCCGTCCATCGGTCTCGCTCTTTCTCCTTTTTCAATACCCGCTTCCTCCTTTCATAAAGCTACGATAAAGAATTAATATATAACAAAAAGGGAGGATACAACACACAATCTTATACCAGCTTTCTGTGTGCCTTGTTCCTCGACTTCTTTTTAGTCTTTCTTGCAATATGAAGCCTTCCAGGTTGAATATCATTAAAAAGGCGGCGCCTGCTTTCATAGTAGCGATGGACAGCTCCTGGTGAAATTATGGCCAAAAACCACATGTAATCCCCACACATGCACAAAAGTTTAATTATTATGGCAAACACTCTCCCTGCCTAAGGATGAGACATCTTGACAGGTGTCGCCAAAAGATGGGACATCTTGACAACCAAGAGTCACACATACACTGCACACACATACATGTACACATCACGTACGCAAGACACAGACTCTCCCTGCCTAAGGATGAGACATCTTGACAGGTGTCGCCAAAAGATGGGACATCTTGACAACCAAAGAGTCACACATACACATGCACACACATACATGTACACATCACGTACGCAAGACACAGACTCTCCCTGCCTAAGGATGAGACATCTTGACAGGTGTCGCCAAAAGATGGGACATCTTGACAACCAAAGAGTCACACGTACACATGCACACACATACATGTACACATCACGTACACAAGACACAGACTCTCCCTGCCTAAAGATGAGACATCTGTGACAGGTAGTCGCCAAACCAAAGAGTCACACGTACACATGCACACACACAAACAGATCATTACTCAGCAATTTCTTGGAGAATGAGCACTTGAAAACTTTTCTTTATGCCATCAGGAGAATGTCTTCACAGCTTCATTCCTCTCACACGAATACCTGTTTGTAACACAGCTTCAGACTAGACAATCGTACTTTCTATGAACCCTACTGTTTTGAGCCATCGAACGCATCTTATCAGGAGCTTTGTCGTGTAGTGCCTTGACCGCAACCTACACAGGAGATGTGCAAGGCCATACTGCATTCACGGCACATGCTTACTGATAGAGAAGGTGGGATTCTTTTGCTTGACTGGGAGAGTATACTCCCTGTTTCAAAGTTGTGACTGTTTCCTTTAGCTCCTTTAGCTCGGCACTTAGTACAACCAGCTGCTCCCTTTGATTTATTCCTGTTAAAAATATTCTCCCAAACGCTAGCCCTGATAGGTAGCTTTCAAAATCGCTTTTTAGGATAGGCATAGACAATCTGAAGACCAGGATGAATGAGGATACAAGAATCACTGGCTAAATCACACACTGACCACGCGCTCTCTGGCGCTCTCACGTGACACATTACATAACAATAATATGAGCATGCGTAGATGATAGAGTAGCGATGATATACAGTGGAACCCGCTTAACGGACACCCCTCTACAACGACACCGCGTTATAACGACAAACTCGCAGGTCCCGGTTGTTGTTTTATCGTAGAGTTCCGTACGTTCATAACCCCTCCAGAACGGACACCCCGCTACTCCGTATAACGGACAGTAAAACCAATCCCAACTGCTTTTCAACGTAGAAAAAAACCCCCGCGTAACGGATAGTCTGCCGCACCCCCTGCCAGTGAATACTATAGTAGGCGAATGCATGGCATTTTTGGAGAAAATCATTAGGACTTTGTAGGCTGTGTGTAGTGTGTATGGCAAAGTACTGGCTGCATGGAGTGTGTGTCTGTGTGTGCAGTGATCACAAACAGTTGCTCTCTCTCCCTCCCTCCCTCCCTCCCTCCCTCTCTCTAGAGCGTTTCCATGGAAGATCTAGGAGTGACAACTAACACTAAGTCTTAATCCAGGTTCTGCCAAGGATGAGAGAGACAACCACAACAAAGACACTTGTACATTTGCTCTACTGCAGAAACAAACCTTAGTACATGTGAGCACTTGTTTATTAAATTATGTCGTAGAAACTTACATTAATTTTACTAAGGGCCGTTAATTACACCACACAACAAAAAGTATGTACAATTATGTCGTCATGATTGGGTGGTGGGTAGCTCATTTCCAAGGACCTCTGATCTACCAAACAATAGAGTGAAGGAGAGGATGACATATTGTCCCACAAGGCTGTCATGTTCATAATTGGTAAGCAAGGTAAAGCCTATATACCTAGACTTCTGAATTGGCCACAATACACTAAACAGATTCTTGGTACTATACATACAGTAATGTAGTTACAAAATGCACGCGTTGCATTCGTCAACTCATGTACTTTACACATTACTTACAAACGGAAATTGAATATGAGCTCAAAAGACATGATCACTCATATTAGAGGAGGATCCTGCGTACACAACTGTTACAAACTGTAGCTGTCATAGTGGAGTTGTGTTTACTGGTCTTTGTATAGGAGATTTGTTACACATCCACTCACCAGTCCATCCCTCCACCCAGTGGTAGTCTCGAGGACGGTGGTCTGCCACACCTGCCCTGGAGGCAGGGGATGGACTGTGTAACAGACACAATCACCCACGTCGACATCAGGATATGGCCGCCGCTGGACGATGGAGTTGTCACTTGATAACACTGCGTTCTTTCCGCACTTATTCCCACTGAATGGAGCAGGAGTGGCGATCCAGTCAGAGACGTCCGCTGCCACTGACATCTCGAGAGAGACGTCGTGGGAAGTGAGGTGAGGTATGTAGCGAGGAGGAGGAGGGGCTTGTTCGGAGTGATGTGCGCTAATTGGAAACTCGCTTGAACTATATACCAGCAGAGCTGGAAGTTTATGCTGCCTGACTTGCTCCTCTCCATCACTTTCCTCTGTCATGTATTCGAAATCAATTGCCGTCCATCGGTCTCGCTCTTTCTCCTTTTTCAATACCCGCTTCCTCCTTTCATAAAGCTACGATAAAGAATTAATATATAACAAAAAGGGAGGATACAACACACAATCTTATACCAGCTTTCTGTGTGCCTTGTTCCTCGACTTCTTTTTAGTCTTTCTTGCAATATGAAGCCTTCCAGGTTGAATATCATTAAAAAGGCGGCGCCTGCTTTCATAGTAGCGATGGACAGCTCCTGGTGAAATTATGGCAAAAAACCACGTGTAATCCCCACACATGCACAAAAGTTTAATTATTATGGCAAACACTCTCCCTGCCTAAGGATGAGACATCTTGACAGGTGTCGCCAAAAGATGGGACATTTTGACAACCAAAGAGTCACACATACACATGCACACACATACATGTACACATCACGTACGCAAGACACAGACTCTCCCTGCCTAAGGATGAGACATCTTGACAGGTGTCGCCAAAAGATGGGACATCTTGACAACCAAAGAGTCACACATACACATGCACACACATACATGTACACATCACGTACGCAAGACACAGACTCTCCCTGCCTAAGGATGAGACATCTTGACAGGTGTCGCCAAAAGATGGGACATCTTGACAACCAAAGAGTCACACGTACACATGCACACACATACATGTACACATCACGTACGCAAGACACAGACTCTCCCTGCCTAAGGATGAGACATCTTGACAGGTGTCGCCAAAAGATGGGACATCTTGACAACCAAAGAGTCACACGTACACATGCACACACATACATGTACACATCACGTACACAAGACACAGACTCTCCCTGCCTAAAGATGAGACATTTTGACAGGTGTCGCCAAAATATGGGACATCTTGACGACCAAAGAGTCACACGTACACATGCACACACATACATGTACACATCACGTACACAAGACACAGACTCTCCCTGCCTAAAGATGAGACATCTTGACAGGTGTCGCCAAACCAAAGAGTCACACGTACACATGCACACACACAAAACAGATCATTACTCAGCAATTTTCTTGGAGAATGAGCACTTGAAAACTTTTCTTTTATGCCATCAAGGAGAAATGTCTTCACAGCTTCATTCCTCTCACACGAATACCTGTTTGTAACACAGCTTCAGACTAGACAATCGTACTTTCTATGAACCTACTGTTTTGAGCCATCGAACTGCATCTTATCAGGAGCTTTGTCGTGTAGTGCCTTGACCGCAACCTACACAGGAGATTGTGCAAGGCCATACTGCATTCACGGCACATGCTTACTGATAGAGAAGGTGGGATTCTTTTGCTTGACTGGGAGAGTATACTTCCCTGTTTCAAAGTTGTGACTGTTTCCTTTAGCTCCTTTAGCTCGGCACTTAGTACAACCAGCTGCTCCCTTTGATTTATTCCTGTTAAAAATATTCTCCCAAACGCTAGCCCTGATAGGTAGCTTTCAAAATCGCTTTTTAGGATAGGCATAGACAATCTGAAGACCAGGATGAATGAGGATACAAGAATCACTGGCTAAATCACACACTGACCACGCGCTCTCTGGCGCTCTCACGTGACACATTACATAACAATAATATGAGCATGCGTAGATGATAGAGTAGCGATGATAATACAGTGGAACCCCGCTTAACGGACACCCCTCTACAACGGACACCGCGTTATAACGGACAAACTCGCAGGTCCCGGTTGTTTTATCGTAGAGTTCCGTACGTTCATAACCCCTCCAGAACGGACACCCCGCTACTCCGTATAACGGACAGTAAAACCAATCCCAACTGCTTTTCAACGTAGAAAAAAACCCCCGCGTAACGGATAGTTTGCCGCACCCCCTGCCAGTGAATACTATAGTAGGCGAATGCATGGCATTTTTGGCGAGCGGGAGCAAGCACACAAAGATTGTATCTGCACGAGCCATCCTAGCCTATTTACAACTTGAAGTTTAGAACCACAAAGATTGGAAAGAGGTATATACAGCCTCGGTCAGGTATCAAAGAGCGCAGCGAATGCCAGCGAATAGACGAGAGTTCTTTCACTGGCTAGATTTCGAATCGATACGACAGCTAGGCAGCGTGTAAAAATTTTGAAACTAATTCCCCTATCACGCAAGCGACGCTGATACAGATGAGCCTCTCTCTGCTCAGGAGTCTCACCGGCACGATGTTCTCTTTCCCTCTCTCTTCGACGACGAAGGGCATCTTCAGGACTGATCATGATTGCGAGAGTATGGAGCCACACACACACGCGTATACGCACGACATCAGGCAGCATGTGAAACCTTTCGGGTAAAAGAAGCACGTAATACTTTAGCGCGTAATAATTTCTATAGACTTTGACTACTGTCATCATCATCATCATCGTCATCATGTTGTAATCTTGTCTAGAGAGCTTTTATTGATATATAAGATGGAGACAGAGGGCTAACCATTAGTGAGTAACTGAGTCAGTGTGTGTATACTACCACTGTGTGTGTGTGTGTGACCTGTACAACTCCTGAATAGTAATATTTTCTCTTGGGACTCTGTGTGCCAACGTAAGAGGTCTGCTAGTAACACGCCTGCGCCCTTTTTTGAGAAGTTTGTTTTGGGCCCCGTGGAACTCCGTGATCTGTAACTCTAACAGTGAATTAGTGACATAGAATTGTGTAATCAGGCAAAACCCCTCCATAAAGGACACCCTGCTATAATGGACAATATGTTGTGGCTCTAAGTTGTCCGCCTTAGAGGGGTTCCACTGTAGTCCTTACATACAGAGTTTGTACAGCTCACACACTCCAGTAGAAATGGCAAGAGAAGCGAGCCTACCTAGTCCTCTGAATTGTCTGGTTTTTCAATATGAAATGACGGACTAATAATGGGCATCAGACAATGTGCATGAGCAAAAATCAAGTACAGTGATTCACCCACAAAAAATAAGTTCTAGTTACAGAATTTCTACAGCTTGCGCTGTCAAGTATAGAATCTCACAGTCAAATACAGTGGAACCTTTGATAAGGGGCCCTCCGAGAGAGGACAAGCCCTCTACAACCCCATGCTAATACTTTAGTGTATTATTCGACCTCCGAGATAGGGACAACCTCTCTACAGAGGACACTTGTATCAACCCCATGCTATTACTTTAGTGTATTATTTGACCTCCAAGATAGGGATGACCCCTCTACAATCACTGACTCCATAGTGTCACTTGTTATGAGGTTCCAATGTATTACGTATCGGTGACTCACCAATGACAGTTCTCATGTGTTTGGTGTGTTTGTCAGTCATGTGTCTGTTGAGATCTCTCCTCATGAGACTGTACTGTTGACATCCAAACACTGCCAGCGAACACTCGACCAGCGAGAACTGACAGCCTTCGTCTGAGCTCAGGTGCAGCTGTGAAGGAGGGAGAGGGGAAGGGGGGAGAAAGAGCAGGGAAGAGGAAGAAGAGAGAGAGAAAAACGAGAAGAGGGTGACTTCGCATGTGGTGCAAAATAATGGTACATGGAAAAAGCAGTGTTTGTGCAACTTACATGCAAACATTTCAGAACTAACAATTTGTTACCTTGCACAAGCATATAAAATCGCACAGTGTCAAAAACCATACTAGGCTGGAGGTATATACATTAATACAGTATGTATACTTATACCTCGAGATCTCGTAGCGTGCCTTGCCAGTTGCAGCCCTTTTGTCTGGAGGTGCAGTAGACGTGGAAGAGGAGGATCCTCTGGGCCAGACTAGGGTCGTCGTGGTGACTGGTGTTGGGTCTGAAGCAGAGCGGACACTGGCCGCACTGAACCTGCATCCACTCCGAGATACACGGGTGGCAGAAATGGCGTCCGCAGCACGTGACTCGCTGCGGATCATGTGGTACCAGCTGAGGGATAAGAGAAAATAAAGAAAGATGCGGTCAGGCAAATTATCCACAAGCTTGCAAAAAACACCTATCTTACAAAACACAAATTTGATCTAGGCAATCACTACGCATACACTAGCTTCATTTTCTAGTAGTTCCCTCAAAATTGATGGGAGCCAGCTGACTTCCACATCTGCATAAGTCTCGTGCAGAAATAGTATCCTAGGCCCCCTCGTTCTAAATACTGCAACAGTAAAGATATAGTTTTGTCCAGATGCAGAGAGAGACAGAGAAAGGTAGAGGTGGCTCACCAGGCAGATTCCACAGAGAATGTCCAGAGGTACTTCTCCTACAAACTCATAGTGAGTGGCAGCCATTAGCCGTGACTTGCTCTTCTCTCTGATGTGGTTGAACAGGGGAAAATTGGGAGGCAGGGGAAATCTGGGAGAGAAGAGAGAAGCATGAGACGGACACATCGTAATCAGCATATTCACACGTGCACCCACACACAGGTTGTATATAGAGTATGTTCGTAGGCTTGTAGCACGCAGCTGACTGCTCAGCTGGTGAAACAGAAGGCACTGCGTAAACTGAAGCGCTGGCGCCAGCAGACTCGAGCAAACTACTCGTTCTCCTTCGTTTCTCCGTGCTCTCAAACTTTTGACCGCTCTGGATTACCAAGGACTTGCAACGTCTTCGGGGTTCCACGCCTTTGTCTCGCAGGTTCAGTAACACTCGACCAGTAGGCAGATGGTTCGCTACTGCTGCAGCACCTCTTTATATACTGCGGCACTCACCTAACCACGCAGCAAGGAGGTGCCATTGCGAAAGTTCCCGCGCAAATCGGCCAGGAGGCGCACGCAAGCAGGAGGGGCTTAGCTGGCGAGGTGGGCCGCGGTCCGGGTGCAACTCGCGTTTTGAAATGACGCGCGACTCAGGTCGTTTTGCCCTCGGGCAAACGACGCACGTGTGTAGACCTGTGGGTATAGGTAGGTGTGCAAGCACTGGTAATCTTTAGTTTGGGAAGATTACAGAGTGAGCAAGCGCGTGGAGAAAGGATGCAGGAAGAGAGGGAGGAGTGGGCTAGAAGATGTGTTCCATGCCTCCAGTGATTATATAGCATAAAAGTTTGAGAAAAAAACCTTTGAGGGACCACTCCCATGCAGAGGAGTCTGGTCTCTCTCTCATCACCTGAACCTCTCTTTGGAGATCGCTCTCCTGTTGCAGAATGCTTTTCCCAAGCTAGAGATTATTTATCATTACAGTGCTTGCACACCTACCTACACACAGGTGTACAGACACGTACACATGCATCATTTGCCGGGGACAAAAGGACCTGAGCCGTGTGTCGTTTCAAAACGCGTGTTGCAGGTAGAGGCGCACTTAGCTGCAGCTCCTCCCTCCCTAAGTGAGTGGGTGGTTTCGATCGCACGCATGCGCACATACTCGGAGCGCGAAGGAAAATGTGATAGGAAAAAAGTGCAGAAAGAGTGGTGACAATCCATGCTAATGCACAACCTAACAGACTAAGACAAAAAGAAGTAATGAAATCCGACTCCCACAGAATGCTGAAAATTATCACCATTTTCCCCAACCAGCCTTGCCCTGCAAAACATAGAGGTATAGAACATAAGACACACATTAAGTGAGTTCTTTAGTGTTGTATACATAGAGTGCCCAATTATAGGGTAGTGCTATGCACTATGTACTTACTGGGTGCAAATTGTGAATGTGAAGTAGTCTCCACTCGGCGCGCATGCGCAGAGAGGGTTACGGTATTTGGTTCGTGAGTGTGTTTGTTTGTGTGTGTGTTTGTCTATTACCTCGTTTTCTGCGACTACGCACAACGAGACAACGAAACAGCGACACCAAGCTTTTCATGTTGTTATGGTGCGCGACAAGTAACAAAGCCCATCCCTGCACATCAGACAAAACAAGGCACGTCATTTGTGTGGAAGTATGATGAAATTTTTGTTTTAATAAAGGAGTGATGCTGTTGAAGTATCGGGATCACATATTATAATATAACGGTGATTTGCAAGTAAAACACCACAGAAGAACTAAATACGCGTAGGTATTGAATTATAATCGTGTCTTTTCTCATTGCAGGAGTCCGTATGACATTTATGAAAATGCATCGTATAGTATTATCCGATGTGGAGCAAAACTATAGCTCATCACCCCATTTCTTATAATATTATGAAAAGCACTAAAGTGCAAACCCTCGGCGGTAAACTAGCGAGTTGTAGCATCGCTGTATGCTGGGCCGTGCGTCATCGACGGAGCCAGTAACACGAGTCCCACCGTAACATAGGGTAGTTGCATTAGCGGTTAGAGCAATTGCTCAGGTGTTTCAGGGGCCATTTTGCTTTATTCAATCTATCAGTACTTCCGTGTTTTAACCAGCCACGGACACATAAAATGTGCCCAGAGCCTTCATAAGTCTATAAGAATTTATATGGGGGTTATAGTAATACATTATATCTACGTAATTATTATTTCTGCTTATTTAAGCAGATCCCCATGGCGTCCAAAGGGTTAAAATTAGGATGCCAGCTACACTTTAATTGGACACATCCTAGTGTGTATGAATACACAGGGAATCCGTAGCATTGGCTGCAGAGAAACACACGGGTACCAATGTAAGAGCAGGACCATTCTCCAGCTGAGAAACATCACATGGCAGTGCGGTATACTGCAAAGCTAGACTGTGTAAGCAGCAGAAGCCAACGGTTAGGACTCCATCTTCTTCTGTCATACAGTATAGCACTCCAATATGCTGATTTGGATTTAATGACAAATCTTGTATCAATAAACCACCTAATGGTGGCCCTGAGTTACAGCTTCCAGTGTCGTTATCCCATATATACAAACCATGGCGGGCACTGGAGAACAGAAGACTCATTGTTCGACTTGTTAACATGCGTCTAAGATGATCGAACAATTGTCGCCAGTGAAAACATATGATTGCACGGCTGATATAAAAATTGACATTATTGTGATTTCTACAAGTACAGTGTTCGCCATTGGTTGGGTAGCGTTTTGAGAGCGAGAGAAATGAGTAGCAGTTTTATTGCAGCGATTTTTTGCAGCACACGCTGTAGCTTGGAAGGCGTGAAGGCTTCCATGTATGGACACTCAATCACGCTAACTTTCTTGAGGACCTTTTTTCATAATGCCAATTTGAACTTGATCCATGAGTTTGTGCTAGGTACATCATTCAAATCTAGTGGTGGTTCTACGTCCAGTGAATAAAACAAGCTAGGGTGTCGGTGACGTGGTACTGAAGTAAAATGCCAGCCCACGTGATATAGCCTTGCGGAGCCACACCTTGTTGGGGGTGGCTCTGCAAGGCTATACGTGCTAATGGAGACATGCGGACACATATCGGATAGGTTTGTGTGCATGTGTAAAGCACATGCACTGCACGAGTTGAACTGCTCCCTTCTCCCAACATTCATGCTAACTTAAACACTGACTTGCACACAGCTCCCCAGACCCTTTACGAAGAAGAATGTTTATTTAGCTGGTAAGTGCAACTCAACAGTGTTGAACCACCATTACTTACTGGCCGTCGCGTTGCAAAAATAAAGTACTCACTAAAATAATTATAATAATTATGGTGCATGGTAAATATAGTTTTATGTACCTGGTGTTCTTTGAACCAGAAAACCTAGTGCTATGGCAGTCTTTGATCTTCTAGATGTTCAGGGTTCTGCCTACGATGGTCGGCGGTGAGTCTCCCGACCACTCCTAAATAAAAGGCGGGGCCAGTGCCTTCCGCCCGTATAGTACGCATCTAAGAGCGATGAATCAATATCTGCAATGGAAACGTGGCCTCCCTGCGGCTCTAAGATGATACTTGGCTTTCTAACACACGAAGAACGAATCTGGGCATCGTCTGCGCGCCTACACTAAGTATAAACATGCAAACAAAAAGGCTCGCGCGAACGCGAACAAAACCACGCGTACGCATTAATTCCGCGCATGCGCATTTACGCGCGCATTATTTGTAGGACTGTTTTCCTAAAGTCAATAATGGCCACCACTAAAATAATCTTGGGCAGAACCCTGGATGTTGAAGGTGTCCTGGGGTAAGAGAGACAAAATCACACAGGTTAAAGTTGGTGTGTATTCCATGCTCTCAACCACAAGTGTTGAATTTTTGCAACCTCAGCAAAGCAATGGAGCACTTGACTATGCATAAAAGGAATAAACAAGAATATTTGGTGAAGGAAACACTCGATTTTGTATAAAAGCCATGAAATTATTACCTAAGGCACATAAGTTAATGCATGAGGAAATCCGCAGTACTGGACATCAAAATCCTAATCAGCACATGAAGGAAGGTTAAGACTGTGACGAAGAGTTTGAGCTTAAATCATTAGTCAATGTCTAACGGTATAGAAATTATTCCTAGATAAATGTCCATAATTATTTTGCTTTTACCTGTAGATGCGCACATTTCTCTTAGCTCATTCGCTACCCGGATCTGAGGAGGATCGAGCCTCTCAAGAGCAGAAGCAATCTTATCCACTGTTTCAAAACAAGGCTCAGGCTTTTGAGTGTTGATAAATATCTTCACTACTCGTCCCAATCTGCATTTTACTGGATCAAGGTCATCCCGGCAGGTAGAGCCGATGGACGTTTCCTCATGTAGTATCAGTTCATTATGTAAACTTTTCCAGTCCACATCCTTCAGTTTAGCAATTATCCGGTTTAACAGTGGTCCTTTACAAAAAGGTGTGTGTGCAAGAGTGTGTATATGTTGTAGAGGGGGGACAATGAGAGATGGGAGCAAACAAAGAAAGTGCTAACCCTCGGCACAAGGAATATGTTAGTAGCCATCTAACGCAGCTGCATCAGTGCATTAAGAGCACTGATGGACTAAATATATACCCTCAAGAAAGTGCTGATTATGCACAATGGCTTTATCACCTGTTTCATGCCAAATCCCTCGAACGTAGTTGTTTCAGTTGTTTTAGTTTTTTAATGCTCTCAAGCTCTCGTAGTGATGCTGTTGGTGGGCTTAGAGGCTGCCTCGTGGCCTATAGTGCCAGAATAGCTGGTGACAGACAAGCTACACACAGACCAAGTATACTGTAACCCTGCTCGTAGAGGGTAAACAATGGTTGAATTATTGCAAACAACTGGTCTCTACCTGTGTGATAAAAACTCAGTCTCACCTTCGCACTGTAGTGTCCAGTTTAGCGAATTATGTGGCACATCATCTCGCAAGGAAACTTGCTGTGTTTGGCTCTGGTCACGGATTTTGTGACTACACTGTAGAGCAAAGGATGTAATAGAACCTCCATGAATTGGTACTTTGATTATCTCTTCTTTTGGATCTCCACTGCCTGTCCACTTAATAGTCACTTTTAGTTTTGGGCAAATCTCTCCTGGTTCATATGCATCGATATCCAGAGTTTTGATTTCTGCCGGTTCAACGTTTGATGATATGTGCCAACCATTTGAATCCACTGGTAGAGAAAAGGCAAATGCATCAGGTTTAGTTTCATATGACATAGGCCAGTCTTCAACATGAATGTAGGGTATTGTCCCTCTGACAGCTGTAATTATGGCATTGAGATTTTTTGTCACCACAATTGTTGCTGTGCTGTCCTTATGGTAAAACACTTGAAGTGAAAGGCGCGTTGGAAAAAAACTAAGTAAATTCCAAAAGAAACGGAATAGGCTGAAACTCTTCACATGCATTTCAGCATACGATGGTTGCAATGAAAAATTATTGGCAGGCAGCGGTTGAAAATAGTGAGGAGGCCCTTTATGTGCGACCATTGAAATTAGTTCATCTTCGTTCTCCAAGATGGCACAGTGTTCTATCTTTATCCTGACTGGAGCTGGTAGGGTAGCACTTGCCTTGATTTTGTATGTTGCACTGACAGCAGGCATATATCGATATCGCGGTGGTAAGATGCTGTCTTCATCAATCTTTGCCACAACTGCCACTGAAATCTTTATACTCTCCATATCATGAACAGTAGGGAAATGAAGGCTAATGCCAGCTGCTTCCCAGATGAAATCCATTTCCCTCCCAGTGTAAAGAAATAACTGTTCTGAGAGGATTGGTACTCCCACAACGTTAATATTGTTTTCATCATATCTGCATTATTACAAGGATTCAAGTGATAAAAAACATTTTTGGTGAGTAACAGCGAGCTAACCTAGTTGGCGAGCGAGAGCGGGCTAACCTAGTGGTCTGAACAGCGTGATTTCTATATCGTACGTCGTCTAACTGGGCATATGTTTTGATTATGCGCTTATATATCCAAAATTTTTTTACACACTCCCTCACTCGTTTTTTCATGTGCGATCTAGCCAGCAAGAGAACTCTCGTCCATTCGACGGTATACGCTGGACTCTGCGACGCCTAACCGAGGCTGTACCTCTTTCCAATCTTCGTGGTTTCAAGGTGTAAGTTGTAAATAGGCTTAGATGGCTCGTGCAGATGCAGTAATTGTGTGCTCGCTCCCGCTAGCCTAAAATTTCCCTGCATTCGCCAGCTAGCAATTATTATTATTGTGTTTACATATTGAGTAGTTTGGTGCACGGTTGGTTCTTAGTTTTGTTTGAGAAGTTCTTCCGTGAAGGTGGAAGAGAAAGTGGGTCCAGGCACAGGGGCAGTAGCAACATTGTCACAACCAGTACTCCAAGGCACTTGCAGACAAGGCTGCTTCCAACTCTCAGAATGATGTCTATTATTGGAACAGAAAAAATCATTGGCTGGTCAGGTTGCATGTCGCTGATATCACTTTCGAAGTGCTGTGGCTCTTCAGTCTTGAGAGGATCTATAAGGGGTTTGTCACTGTTAAAAGACTACACTAATAGGGATGTTACATAATTAACCCTCGGTGCACATGCGCAGCGAGGGTTACGGTACGGTATGGTACTTGGTCTGTCTGTCTGTCTGTCTGTCTGTCCGTTTGTCCATGTGAGTTCTCGCACTACAGGCTATGAGGCGGTGAGTGGCACCAACGGGTTTTGAACAACAAGAACATGGATGTAAATGTGGCGATTTTCCTGAAACGACTGCATTTCAGGGATATGGCGTGAAAACAAGCGAAAAACGCGCCCTCGCCGGCAGGCTATATAGCGCGCATGCGTCATGTCAGTTTTTCGCCGGAGCATGTGCATACGTCATGTGGCTGTATAGGATCCGCCACCGGCAAGCAGTTTTTGAGTGTCTCTCCTCTGTTAGTTTTGATCTCTGTTCTCTTTGTTTTCAATAAACAAGCTGAGCAAGGTATGTCCGCAACATAGCGTCATAGTTCACTTGAGACGAGCAGTTTGTGGATGGGGCCATGCCTTCCCATCTATAAAACGTCTGGCAATATGTCGCAAGCATTGAAACACAGAAGAGCGGATAGATTGAATAAAGCAAGCAAGAGAGCCTCTGAAACACTTGAGAAATTGCTCTAACTGAGCCTTCTGATGCACCTAGCCTGTGTTACGGCGAGACTTGTGTTACTGGCTCCGTCGATGACGCATGGCCAAGCATACAGCAATGCTACAACGCGTGTGATTTGCGCTGAGGGTGTGCACTTTAGTACCTTTCATTCTATCATCATCTGAAGGAAAATTTGTATTACACAGTACGGATACTCTATACATTATACCATCCTGGTTTGCATGTGATTTCTGCTCTTTTCCCTTTTTCTCCTTCTCTTTGTCCTATGACGCACAATGATACCATTTCTCATTGTGTATTACATAGGCTATTACCAGTCACAGCTTCTTGTGTGCGTGAAAGTGAACCGAGGAACAACCATACACTGAAACATGAAGTTCCCCAAAGGCAAAAACCATAGAACTCCGTCTTCTTTGACTAGTGGTTGTTGTATGCATTTTCTTTCAAGTGTGCTCATAGCTAGTTGTCAGGCACTATTGTTTGAAGGGTGTCCCCCACCTTACCTCTCTCAGAAGGTGAAGGAAGTCCAAAGTGTGGCTCAAGGTCTCTGGCAAGGGAGTTCAGTTGAACATCTCTGAAACACTTGATCAGTTTCTTCCACGAGTGATCTTCATCTTCTCGCATCCATTCTTCGTATATCTTTATAACAGCTTCAACTTGGTCACCACGTGCAGTATTTACTATGGTACTGACTCTTGCCCCGGTATCATCTCTCAGTAAGAAGGTTCCGATATCCTTGAATTTCACTGCACTCTCTTCCACTATTTTGATCTCTCCCTTGGATGTTGATAGTGTTATCAGGTCACCCAGCACTAGAATTGAACAGATATAATACACGGAGAGGATGCCAAATTCCTCATTTATGACTTTTTTAACGTGTAAAAATTTAGTGGCATTGTCTCAACAGAACACTATGAGAAAAGGCCTATGCCCCAAAAGCACCTCCTTCACCAGTACCATTTCCATACATTTCTATGAAATGACTTCTCACACAAGCATGGAATTGAGTGTTTCACATGTGTTAGCCTCAGAGTGACAATGGAGCTTTAGGTGTTAAGCATAGATAATCATACATGCTTAACAGCTTGCAACTCACCAGGATCAGGAGCAGGAGCAGGAGGAGCAGTGGTAGGAGCATCGGTTGGAACAGTGGTAGGAGTGGTGGTGGAAGTGGCTGTACGAGCAGTAGTGGGGGCAGAGGAAGTAGGAGAGAGGGTGGTCTCTATAGCAGGAGAGAGAAGATTCTGAGTTAGCTACAAGAATGTGGGAAATCTTGGGATCTAGCCATATCATGGCAGGCTACTACAGCAATGGCAGTAAGATTTCCAAAGAAGTATGTGGTGCGTATAACACAGGCAAATAGAAAATAAACTGAAGATTTGATTAGTAGGTGAACGTGTATCTAAAGCAAGCACACCAAATCACTTTCGCAAAATATACCTACGTATATACAATGAAAAATGATCACTATGCACTTATTAATTACACTGTCAGACTGTCAGAAGCTAAATTAACCACTAGCATTGCATGGTGAAATAGCTACATATATCCATACCTATGGACAGGTATTTTTCCGTTTCTTCAACTCCTGCGAACGAGACTTTCTGTACTAAACATTATTCTTATGCAGTGGTGTGATGCTCTACAGCGCCAGACTGACCTTTCTTTGCGACACGCTGACTCCACCGCCCATGTTCGTATGGTTGCCGTCAATTCCAACACAATGAAACAGTACTTTGATTTGCTTAATGATGTCATGACCGAGTTTGACTTTCACTCAAAACCCTCTCAGATTTACAATGTTGATGAGAGTGGTATTCCGTTCGAGCCTCGTGCTCCCAACATTGTGACCACTAGGGGAACCAAAAAGGTCCATTATCGACAGTCCGGTAGGAAGGGGTAAGTAACCATTGTGGGATGTGTTAGTGCATCTGGGCATGCGCTCCCACCCATTGTCCTTTGATGCAAAACGACTAAATGCTGCATGGACCAGGGACGAAGTATGGCCTCAGCGACAACGGGTGGATTAACTCCGATTTGTTTGAGGCATGGCAGTGTGAGCATTTTGTTTCCCATGTGGTTTCGGCTAGGCCTTTGCTGCTGATACTGGACGGGCACAGCACTCATTATCAGCCCAAGCTGTTGCGGCTAGCGAAGGAACACGATATCATCATGCTATATCTCCTCCCCCCACACAACATATGAGGCACAACCCCCTAGATTGTGGTGTTTTCGGGCCACTAAACTCTCACTGGTCAAATGTTTGTCACTTGTACTTGCACGCAAACCACCGAGTCATTACCCACGTTTCAGTTACAGTGCATCGTTCTATCTCTCAACGGCATGGAGTGCCAGGCCAGTAATACACCAGCCGAATATTACCGCTGCTTTCGCGACATGCCAGGAATCTATCCGTTTAACCCTACTGCCATCAACGTTTCTCATGGAATGCCCTCGTCCGATTCAGATACCAGTCTGTGAGTGAATCAAGAGGATTCAGCTGAGCAGGAGCAACGGTTTAGAAAACGCACGAAGAAGGAACGGAAGAAAACCAAAAGGGAAGAGAAAAAAGCGGCAAGGGAGAGGAACAGAAAGGAAAGCTGAGGAACGACAAAGAAAGACAGAAACAAGAGCCAACAAGGTGAAGGAGGCAGCAGAAAAGAGGAAAGAGAAAGCTAAAGGAGCAGGGAAGAGAAAGGTTTCAAATCAAGCCACTGACTTACGTATGCCTCCACAGAAGAGAGCGTGTAAGCTCTCCCAAATGGAAAGTGACGACCCTTGAAATCAACACTAATATGTGCTGTGTTTTATACTCAGAAGATCGCACAGGAAAAGACTGGATTGAACGTTATGTGGCCGCTGGCTACATGAAGAGTGTGCCGAATATTGTATTTTAGACTCGGAGAGGTTCTGTCCTATCTGTTTGTTTTCCGGTTGATGCTGTAAGAGTGATGTTGGTGCACATTTCTGGTCTTAAAGAAGATTTTCCGACTTTAAAAACATACCGTTGTGTAGAATTGGACGTGTAGTATGTCATGACGGGTGTGAAATAAAAACTATTAGCTCACAGGAACCAGGAAAGGGCAAAGTTCGGAGACAGGCGATAATAGAATGCGCAATATTATATGCAAAGCGATATTTGGTGCCGGGTAGCGATAACTGGTTTTTTACCTTGCGCGCTGGACGTACTACCGCCATAGTTACGTATGGAGTTTCCACTCGAAAACTGGATACGAAGGTACTACAGTACGTAAACTTGCAGGGTACGACGTTAGGAATACTTCTCCGCAGCGAAGTGGACGCCATTCCTTAAGGGTGCGATAATTGGCGATCTACGCTATGTTGGGACTAAAAGCAATACAGATAAAGTGAACTGAGGAACAACCACCCAGAGTGATCTTCATCTTCTTGTATCCATTTTTCGTAAATCTTTCTAACAGCTTGACCTTCGTCACCATGAAGTGCAGTATTTGCTATTCCACGGACTCTTGCCCTGGTATCATCTGTCAGTAATAAGACCCCAATGTCTATATGAACTTCTCTGCACTCTCTTCCACTATTTTGATATCTCTCTTGGAAGTTGATAGTTTTATCAGGTGACGCAGCACTACTTACCCTAGAATAGAACACAAATACCAGGGGTGTCAGAGCCTCTACGGCCAGTACGGCGACAACCGTACAACTTTTGCCTGGACTCGCCACCAACTTACTTGTTGGCCTAGTAGGAACCCAGCAAGGTCTTTGGGAGCTAGGGCTGCGTAAAGGCGGTGCGCACGGTGTGGTCTCGTCGCGCAGCTTTCACCCCGCCCCCTTTGTCACGCTCGCATGCGTTGTAGCCATAGTTGCGCGGATGGACCCAGTGGACGACGAAATGGAAAGATCTGCAGCGGCTGACATACAAAAAGGATCATTATTATCTAATTCTTGTCAAGACTTGGAGCAGCAGTGGCAAAGCATTGAAGTTGGTGAAAAACCATACCAACCGCGCAGAGCTTCATTCCCAAGGTGGGTAGAGCTAGCCAGAGCTAAGATCATTATCTAGCTTTGCTGCATTTGGCAAGTAGCTGTAACAACAAGACCATTTTAAGCTGCATGGCACTGGCTTCACTGGGATAATTCTTCTCAACATATTTTCTGTCATGTTTGTGTGCAAGCTGCTCAGGCAAGTAAGCTCAAGGCTAGGTGTTCAGAGCAGGCATTTATTAGTCGAGGGTTCCAAAATTGGAAAGATGCTACTCGTTTATTTTGTCGCCATGAAATATCTGTTTGCCATTCAGAAGCAGTAGAGAAAATTATAACAAAAAGGCACGTCGGTGAGCTTTTTAGCACTAAAGTATCCGAGGACAGGAAGAGAAGAGCAAGCCTTTTGCAAATTTTGCAAGCTTTGAGATATCTAGCTAGACAAGGTCTCTCAATTCGGGGCTCATCTCTCACCAATGAAATAGAAGGTAATTTCTCACAGCTTCTAAAAGTGTTTTGTACATTTGATAGTGATCTTCCATTATGGCTCAACAAGAAAACCGATAAATACATGAGTGCTGACACTCAGAACGAGCTTCTTCGGGTGATGGCTACAGAATTCTTTGGGAGATTGCATCAAGGATTTGCAGGAGATAATTTGCACAATTACGGTGGATGAAACCACTGACATCAGCACACAGGAGCAATGTGTCATTGTTCTGAGGTGGGTTGATGATGACCAAGAGCTACATGAGGATTTCATTGGCTTACATTCCACTCCCTCGGCTGATGCTAATGCAATAGTTGTTATTATCAAGGATGTTATCCTCCGCTTAAATGTTCCCCTCAGCAACTGTAGAGGGAGTGTTATGATGGTGCAGCAGTGATGTGTGGAGTCAGGAGTGGAGTTGCTACCCAAGTAGCTAAAGATGAGCCTTGAGCTTTATATCTTTATTCCTTTATACGTTCATTCGTTCCTCTCGATAAATGCGCACTGATGAAGAATTTAATTCTTTCTGGAAGGTAGTAATGACTGGTCTGGAAGAGGTAAATGTAGCTGAGCCTTCCTTACCTCGCAAACGTAGAGTTCCATCTCGTTTCTTGAAACTGGAAGCACTGCTGGGTGTTTCCCTGCCAACATGGAAGAGTACTACTGCTCCATCTTCTTTGATGCACTGGATACAATTACTCAATGCGTTTCCATCCATTTTGATCCGCCTGGTTTCCAGACCTACAGCAAACTGGAAGTATTTCTACCCAAGGGCTCTGCAGGAGCTTGTTATGATGATGAATTAGCTGTTGTCATGCAGCTGTGCTTAGAAGATCTTTAAGAGCAACTTCTACGATCACAGCTCTTGCTCTTGAAATCTCATTTCAAGAACAACAGTCCTCCAGTCTTGATGGATGTAGCAAACTTTTGTGAAGGCAAACCAGCAGTTGCTCTCAGAAGCAGTAAAACTTTTATCTTAATTCTTGTAGTCCCAGCAACTATAATGCTTCCAGTGAGAGATGTTTTTCTGCTCTCTGTATTGTCAAGACGTACCTTCAGTCCACAATGGATCAGCCAGGCTCAATCATTTGCTTATCCTCCTTACACATAAGAAGAATGTGGTAACCTTTGCCTTGAACAATGTGCCAATGATTTCTGCTTCCAATCAGAGCACAGAAGGAACATTTTTGGTTCTTTTTGCAGTTAGAATTTGTTTTTGTGAAAAAGGGCATGCGCATGCGCAGTTGTAGTCGCGCTGGCCCTCGCAACCTGGGCCTTCCCCGTCGGCTGCGCGCAATGCTGTCGAAGAGACTAGGTCGCAGAGAGCCGTACCACTTGCCTCAACCTTCCGAAGCCCCTGAATACACATCATTTAAATTTTCTCCCATGTAATTGGTGAGTGGGAGCGAGCAAACCTATAGTCCTGTCAACGGGCTGATTTTCCCATCCAGCAATGCCACACATACCGTAATGTTCTACTTGAGTCTAAACAACAGTTAGCCTCAATGCAATATTACGTTACACGTGTGCGACAACGCGTATAGTTATCAATCCCAGCACAACTACGCCTCTACCACAGCAGAGCTCGCAGGAGGCAGCTTCTTACTCTAGCAGCTGAGGACTGGAAAACACGCCCTTCTCGCTGGCATCACACACACGAGAGGCACACCTCCAGCAGTGGAGGACGGCTATGTGAAAAACTATACTCCTGCCTGTGATCATCAGATCTGTAGTTGGATCACTCCCGCTCGCTAAAAATGCTTATATAGCACTCATCTAACAATTACATCAGCTCTGAACTCACCAGCAGTGTTGGTAGTAGTTGTGGCAGTGGTAGAGGAGGCAGGAGATGTGGAGACAGAGAGGGGAGGTTGGGAGGTGGGGGGAACTGCAAAAGATGAAGAGGAGAGAGAGGGTGTGGTTAACTGAGCAGCAGTAGGCACAATAAGTTCCAATTAGAGCCCTCAGTGGGTGGACTACACACATCATTGTATGATGGTGGTAGGGAAGACTGTTTCTATAAGAGGCTCACCGGCAGTGGTGCTAGCAGTGGAGGGGAGAAGAATAGCAGCTGTGGCAGTAGTGGAGGAGGTGGAGGAACACTCGATGACTGAGTAGAGAGAGACAGTAGAAGGCAAAAACAAACGGTCAGCAATGCCCTTGAAGAGGGGACTAACCAGGAATGGTGGAGACAGGATGAGGAGCTGTGGAGACACTGGCAGTTGTGGAGGAGGTAGCGACAGATTGTCTGACTGTAGAGAGTAAAGTGTATGTGATAGCAGTTTGCATGTCCATACATATATATAGAGGACTCACTAGGAGTGTTGGTAGTGGTAGAGGAGACAGGAGGAGAGGACAGGGAGGGAGAAGGAACAGAAGCAGTAGTGGAGGAGACTGTGGAACACTCTGACACTGTAGAGGAACATGAATGAAAGAATGAATATCAAAATAGGGCACATAGAGATGCAAGCACTCACCAGGAGTGTTGGTAGTAGTGGTGGCAATGGTAGAGGAGGCAGGAGCTGTGGAGACAGAGAGGGGAGGCTGGGAGGTGGAGGGAAGTGCAGAAGATGAAGAGGAGAGAGAGGACATGGCTGACTCAGCAGCTGTAGGGGAAAAGAAAGAAAAAACATAATAATATACGACTTCCAATTAGAAAACGAATGAGACACACAGCCCTATTATTACTCACAGTGACTAGTGCAGACAGATATCCATGGAACTGAGCCATCGGTTTCACGCGCCTACAAGCCCTTGCTGGACTAAACCAAAACGCTCAGAGCACTGTCATTGCTAGGGCATGTTGGCAGCCATTGATTAGCCACAAACACTTGTGGTATGCTCGTTATGACCCATGTTTTATGTGATTAGTACTTCCAGATGCAAGGTGAGCGCAACTGGACTTTAGCTAGCTGTCCCTTCCCTGCACAGTTATTTGTTGTCAAGAGGGAAGGCCAAGACAGCTGAACTAATTGCCTGATAAGGAAGTGTGCCACATATTATGATACACTTTTCTATTGACTCTAGGCACCAAGATAATACAAAATAATACTGAAGATTTGATTAGCAGGTGAACGCGTATCTAAAGCAAGCACACCAAATCACTTTCGCAAAATATACCTATGTATATACAATGAAAAATGATCACTATGCACATATTATTACTTACACTGTCTGACTGTCAGAAGCTAAATTGTGATCACTAGCATTGCATGGTGAAATAGCTACACATATCCATACCTATGGACAAGAATTTTTTCGTTTCTTCAACTCCTGTGAACAAGACTTTCTGTACTAAACGTTGGCGGGGTGAAATCTCTTCTAATTTGATTGCAAAGAAGGGAATTGATCTTCCTGGCTTGTATCCCTCTAAATATCTCTTTTCAAGCTGAATGAAAGAAAATTTGTTAAAAAACACTAAATACAAAAGTAATGGAATTTACCGATGGAGATGTTAAGGGAGTGAGATTCCAACCATCTTTCTCCCAAGTTCTCTCAGGGATGCCAATATCGGGGATGTGGAGTGAAACTGTCCTTTCTTTAAGGCAGGCTTGTATTTCAAGACCCTTTTCACCCCGTCTTTCTCTATACACCTTGTTCACTTCCTATAATGACAAATAATTTTGCAGTATTGATAATGTGCATACATGTCATGTGCTGTGCTCATCACAGTAATACATAGGCACCCAGACAGAGTGCTACAGATCGTATTGCATACCTTAAGATGAATTTTCAGATTTGGAGTAACAGTGATGTGGACTTCATGTGTTTTTGGCTTTTCAATGGGTAGGTAAAATGTGCAGAAAGCATACGACTTTCTTCTCGCAATCAGCCCAAACGGTAAGAAATGGTCAACATCAATGGTTCCATGCCCTGATTCTGAGAAGGAGCCTCCTGGTAGTGGGAGGAAGGTGTAAGGTGGCTTGTCTTGTGTGGATGTAATGAAGGTGAGTGTGGAGTCGTCATCCGAGGCACAGTGCTGGAGAGCGAGGGTGACTTTCTTGTCAAATGTCTCCACGGGAGGATCGAGCGAGAGCCAGAAGACTTCACTGACAAGGACTTTGTCGTCCGGTAGCTTGTACTCCCCACTCAGACTAGCCCGGATATGTGTTGTCACTGGTAGGTGTAAGAAAAATATTGACATACTCTTCTGGAGCATAATAAATCTGATTACACAACGCATATGCAACGGAAAAAAATACAAAATGGCTGAGCTAGGATTTGAACTAGGGACTTCAGGATCTACTAGTCTTGTGGTGCCAGACATTCTGCAGGGGAAGGGAACCAGGCCCCGCGAGACCAGGGATCTACAGTCCACTGCTTTGCCGCTACAACGTTACCTATATTCTGCATTAAATACGTTATTGCACGTGTAACCACAAACAGCTTATTTTATTGGCACATCAAAGTTAAATATTCTCACCCTTAGTCACTAGCCCAATGGCACCAGCTGGGATTTGAACCTTGAACCCATGACCCTCCCAGTGATAGTCCAGTGGCTGGTCTGGAGAGATCTCTATCTTCGTCTGCTCAATTATGTCTACACCTCTGATATCAGGGGACTTCCCTGAAACATAATAGCATAGCTCATGAGCACATCCATCACAACAAAATCACAGTTTGCTCTTTTAGTAACACTAATATTCATGTCATAACTTTAGAACACAGTATGGTCTAAAGGACTCACGAGGAATGTTGGCGGCCTGGACTTTGTCAGCGAGAGCAAAAAGTTTGGTTTCACTGAGAGCCTTGACCAGAGTCTCCCACGTCACGGGAAGTCCCTTTCCTCTGAGCCACTCCTGCAGAATGCTGCGAGAAATCCTCTTTGGATTCCCGCGGTGTTTGTCCCTGAAGAAGTCCACTTTATCCCCCGTCTCGTCGTTGAGGAGGAAGATTCCGAATGTGGTGTGGCTTGTGGCAATTCCCTCGGGGATTTCCAGACGAAGTAGCTCTGGCAGAGTGGGTCGACAGACACCATCACCTGTGAAGAAATTTAGAGAGAGAGAGCAACGACTAAAGGTAAGAGTCAGTCAATACATCAAGGGTATAGATGTAAACACACATCATGTGGAGATTGTTTCTAAACGAGGCTCACCAGGAGTGGTGCTAGCAGTGGAGGAGAGAGGAATAGCAGCTGTGGCAGTAGTGGAGGAGGTAGAGGAACACTCGGTTGCTGAGTATAGAGAGAGACAGTAGAAGGCAAAAACAAACGGTCATTAATGCTCTCGAAGAGGGGACTCACCAGGACTGGAGGAGACAGGATGAGGAGCTGTGGAGACACTGGCAACAGTGGAGGAAGTAGAGACAGATTGGATGACTGTAGAGAGTAGAATAGTGGAATAAAGGGTCAACTTTAAGTTCACACAAAGAGGAAAGAAGACTCACGTGAAGCGTATGTAGTAGAAGAGGACAGGGAGAGAGAGGGAACAGAGGCAATAGGATAGGAGCTAGCAGAGGAGGAGAGAGGAATAGCAATGGCGTCAGTGGTAGAGGAGGCAGGAGCTGTGGAGACAGAGAGGGGTGGCTGGGAGGTGGGGGGAACTGCAGTAGATGAAGAGGAGAAAGAGGGCATGGCTGACTCAGCAGCTGTAGGGGAAAAGAAAGAAAGAGCATAATATTATGACTGATCCAAATAGAAATGAATGAGACACACAGCCCTATTATACTTGTTTGTTACTCACAGTGACTAGTGCAGACAGATATCCATGGAACTGAGCCCTCAGCAACTTTCCCAAAGTTTTTGGAGCTGATAGAGCAAGTCCACACTCCCTTCTTAACGGTGGCGGGGTGGGGTTTGGCTGGGCGGGGGTGGGCGGGGCATACGATGGCTGGGACTGGAGTGTTGTTTGTGTAGCCGATGGTCTTCCCTGCTTTCTGGAGACCTGCAAACACTGCGTCGTGTGCCAGTTTCCACAGCTCGGCCTCGTGGTCCTCTGCAGTGTGTATGTGGAGTTCGAAGTGGGTGAAGTGATCGATGAGTGACACGGTGCCTGCGTAGTCTGAAACGGTGAACTCGATGACGTTGCGATGGAGGCATTCCGGAGCTCCTTTCTCGTTCCGAACCACTCTCCAGGGGCAGGGATGACTGTTTTCGGGGGACAGGAGGTAAGCTACAGTGGAGCAGAACGTTCCCATCAGGGGACCGCTGTCGGGGAAGTGAAGAGCCAGGGCTTTCCCGCCACTCACTCGGTGTTCCTCCACCACCTCCCACGCCACCACTTGCAGCAGACACGGCATGAAGTACACGTCCTCCGACATCTCCGCAAACACCAGCAGCCCCTTTAGCAGGGTCACCAGTTCCTTGGGTGTGAACAGAGGTGGCTCGTAGTGGCTCTCGAACTCGCCCAGAAGCTTTTCCGTCACTTCGCCGTGGTCACGGAACCTCAGCTTCTCCCCCGGCACGGCTTGGCCCTTCTTTCCCTGCCTCATGTGGTAGGTCTCCTCCACCAGCTCTGAGACCTTATCCAGCAACATCTGTGGCTCCATGAACACCAGCTGGGGCAGGATGTCGGGGAAGTAGAACAGCATGTTCAGACCGTCAAAGAAGTTCAGGGCTTCCCCACACGACTCGTCATCCATCTCCATCGACTCCGCCACCCGCTGGCACAGCTCTCGAGGCAGTACCTTCTTCCCCAGTTCATTTGCCACCTCCAGCAGCTTCTGGTACAGAGCGTGCCATCGCAACGGCACTTTCACCTCCCTTCCCCCCTCCCCCTCCTTACTAAGACACTCCCGAATGCTCTCCGCACACTCCCTGTCCTCCTTCTCCGGCTTTGCCGCATTCAGTGGGAAGACAAAGTCCTCCCTTTCCGTATCGCAGTAGATGAGCTGCTCCCTGAACTGAGGCAAGAGGATCTCCCTCAGCCTCTTGTGCAGAGTGTCCAGCACTCCGGGCAGCTGCTCGTCTGCCACCATGTCTCGGTGGGTGGCCAGAAACATCATTTTGGCGGGAGGGATGTTGGGGTTCTTGTTGTTCAGGGACCTCATGGTCCGCACGCACAGTCTCAGGGTCCCTTCGTTTGTCAGGTAGGCTGGGTACTCCCACACTAGCTTGCCGTCTTTGAAGTAACCGATCGTCGCTCGCTTGTCAAGAGACTCGTGGAGCTTCAAGACGTAGACGAATTTGGACGCACCCCTCAGGAAGACGGGCATCATCTCCAGAAGCTCGGGCTGGCCGCCAGAGTCCAGCACGAGGAACTGCTTCAATCGCAGGATGGGCTCCAGGGAGGGAGGAGCACTGTTGATGAGATGTACAAACCCCTCGTCCACCGCAGTCGACAGCAGCAGGGAATCCAGCCTCCCTTCTGCCTCCTGCCGCTCCCTGGTGCTGGGCTTCTCCTCAGAGGATGCTGTGATCTTCCCGGCTGCTTCAGACGTGGAGCTACTCGCCTTCTTTGGAGTTGGCTGAGCTGACTGGCTGGCTGCGGTGTGGGGAGACTGCTGGCCGGGGGAGGCTGGGGCTCTGTGCCGTGGCATTCGCGACTGAATTACTTCAGCGACGACGTCTCGCAGTTGGTCTAATGTTCGTTTCTTCCACTGTTTTTTGCCGTCGACGTCCACGAACATGACCTCGATTGGTCTTTTCATGACTGGAGTGCTGTGTCGGATGGTGGGAGGGTCCACTCCGAGCAGTGCAGCGAGGGAACACGTCTTGCCACTGCCAGCCGTGCCAAACAGCAGCATTTTGTCCAGGTCCAGCTCAATGTGGCCTTGTTTCATCTCCTGCTCGTAGATCTGTTTGGAGCGGAATCTTCCTGCATGGGAGTAAAGTGTACATGTTGAAGGGAGTGTCAACCAACCAAGAAAGTCCACTGTACCAGTGGGGAACAGCTGCTGCAGGTGATCCAATGCTCTGAGACTACTGCCGTCACCCACGTCCGACTCTGTCATGTAGAGACCCCATGCCACAAGCGTCCAGGATGGTGCTGGATGTGAGGAGATGAAGGAGTGAATGAGGGCCTGTTTGCACTCTCTGTCAGTGGTACACTGTTCCTTGATCCTGTCCCTCTCAGACCTTGGTATGTAGGCATATCCACCAAACGTCCTCCACAGACGGTCACTCATGATGTCTAGAACTGTGGAGAGGTTCTCTGGAGTGAGACTGGCATCTGGGAACACAACAGGAGAGAGAAATTCTTGAAAAGCTGTTGCTAGGGAAGACGAGGTTATGACGAGATTGACGACACAACAGACTGACCTGGTGAGACTGGCAGGAACTCCTTCACTGCCTGTAATGCCCTCTCCTCCTTCCTGTAGTACAGTGCTCCTGCAACTCTCTCCCAGGAGGCCATGGGGACATTGTGCAGGAAGTAGAGTAGGACCTTTGTTTTCTTCTCCTCCTCTGTCAGGGCAGGATCGTTCTTGATCTCATCCCGCACAGGATCAGGAACACCAAGACCATAGTCATAGCTCCCTAGACGATACCAGTCCTGGACTGAAGAGGTGACGTGACGGAGGTTGTTGATAGTGAGTGTGGGGTCTGCACAGAGTGTAGGACATAACATGGCAATACACACATCAGTAACCACATCAGATACATCGTTTCCAAGACGACCACAACAACAAATAGCCTCAGGCACTTTTCTTTTCCTCACCTGTGACAGACTCCACGAGATGTCGTATCTTATCTGCAACCTTTTTCTCTCCAACCCCATCAAGAATAACAATAACTCGTCTCCAGGAGGCTAGTGGGTTGTGGTCCATGAAGAAGGTGACATATTCCTCCACCCATCGTCCCTCATCTCCTCTGAGCTGTCTCTGAATTTCCCTCAGTCTCCACTCAGGGACACCCAAATAGAGCCCCAGAGTAGTACTCCTCACGTTCCTGACAGCTCTCTGGACATTGTTTCTGGTGAACATCATATCTACACACCAGAGACAACCACAGGACATTTAACCCTTTCTCTTTAACCCCTCAACTACTATGCTATCAAATTACCCCCTTGCCCATTGAAACACCAGAGGAGGTCGGACATGCGCATGGATTGCGTCATTGTAAATGACAATTATGCTGACACAGCAATTTCTTTCCCGTGTATGGGGAGATAAAAGAGCGTGCTGTAGCAATACCAAGCGGGATTCGGAGAGGATTTGCAACTGACTCGATGTAATATGAAAGAAAGATACTGAAAATCCTAATATCCCCAGCGATCCCCTACCGCTCGGCAAGATATAGTGAAGAATACTAATAACTCTGTCACACTCACAGCGTGAGCCCTAGAGCCAAGCTAAAGCCACAGTACCTTACTTCGATCCTTTTTACAACTCTCCGTGTGGTTTCAAGCGAATGCTTCCTCTGTTTTGTCAAAAAACTAAGAATAGGTCGAGCAAGTCGTCGACGGTCGTGCATTCCTCAACGCGCTAATTGAAATTCTTGTACTATTCACGTGACCGTGTCCGACCTAGAGTACCTCTTCTGATCTGTTACAAAACGTTAAACACAGCAAAATACAATTAACCCCTTTAATTCTCACGAAACAATTATGTGGGCGGAAATTGTAGTTTTTGCACTTCCTTATTTGGTAATGGGTATTTTTAGTTCAGAACCTATCTACTAAAAATAGTAGAAAGAAGTAGACTAGGGAATCAGCTCACATTTCTTGTCGTGGAAGTCGGGAGAGGGGCGGGGGGTTTGCTTGCCAAAAATGCATTGTGTTCGAGTTCTACTGCAGTTAGCATTCCAAAGGTGAGTAGATAACAATATTCACAACATGTTTGTTGTCAGTGTACAATGATAAGCACCCAAGGAAGCACTACTCTGTGCATGATGAGAGGTCAATGCTGTGGTATGCGGATTTGTTTGTCTCAGCACTAAACATGTTGTTACTCCGTATACTCGGAACTACGGGATTTCAATGAACCCTCGGTCCCATTCGTAGTAGTGTGGCCAAGCTGCGCTCCGGACACTACAACGCGGAGGCCCTCGGGTTCATTGAGATGGGGGTGAATCGTGCCCAAATTTGTTTCTCTGGAGGAGACGTGTTTCGTTGATCGGAGGCGCGTTTCTTCAAGTGGAGAGGCGTGTCTCGTCGAGAGGAGGAGGCGCCGAGTGGGAGAGGCGTGTCTGGGGCGTGGTTGATGTGGCGCCTGTATATGTATGGCTGACCTCCTTGACTTGCAAGACAGCGCACCGCGTTCTGAAGCTGCTGGTGAAGCTGAGATGTTGCAGTCAACTGCTGTTAGTCTGTAATCCCCAGTACTTCGCACGCCACGTCCCAGCCGTGCCTAATGCGCCGCGTCGACCACGCCTCTCGCGCTGAACGCCTCTCCACCCGAAGAAACGTATACATGCCTCCTCCTCTTGACGAGACAGGCCTCTCCACATGAACACCTCCCATATATACATCCCGTAGTTCCCTCGAACGGAGTAACTAACTTATTATTGCTGTGGTGGTCGGGATTGTGTTCTCTGCAAAAAAAATCATATCAATTGACTATTGTAGGGGCGGAGGTTCATTAAAGGGTCCCATATACGCCAAAGGCATTGTTTCAGCACCACGGCTGGCAGTAAATTCACCTGTCTTAGATGAGCGGGATCGATGAGGGAAGGGAGGTACAGTCAAACCACCGTCGGCGGCTGCGTAGGACGCACAGAACGTTCTCCTTATCGTGGCCGCGAGAGCGTGTTGTCGGAGTCTGCTGGAGTTGAGAACCTCCACGATTCTTTCCCAGGACAACGATTCATCATACGCCAGTAAAGCCTCCAGATACTCAGTGATACATCGGGGGGCGTCTCGCGGATGACTGGCATCGATGTTGCTGAGAGTGGCGGGAGGAACTCCGAGCTCTACGCACAGGTAGCGGACCTTCTCCTGGGAGAGAGTGTCTAGGGCACGAGACAACTCGGCTAGCTGCGGACGTGGCTCCGCCATATAGCGAGCGTCTTGTTGTACCACGCCCACGAAGGTTATGTTTGGGTGTGGCCGGCTTGCTTAACGCGCATGCGTGCAACCGTTGCCCTTACCAGCTCTACACCCATCACCACTCCCCCACCTAATAATATAGCAGAATGTTGAGCATATTCACATTGTTTATCGTTATCCGCGTTCGTTAATGACAATATTGATGCAAAAGATGAGGATGATAATCGGGGATGGGAGTTGAGAAGTGTCAGTGAGGAGTGGTGGAGGAAGAGGAGGAGGGAGAGGAGGAGACGTGAAACTGCTGCCAGTAGAGAGGAGAGTTCTTGTGGACTAGGGTCCACACGTAGGGCACAAAGAATTCCTCCGGCTGAGCTTCTTCCACGTAGCGGAACTTTAGCTCTGGAAATACCTGCAGTGTAAGCAAAAAAGAATGGAGGTGGTGATGTCACAGCCTAACTCAAATTCTAGTCAATGTATAAGGAATAATCAGCAAGTGAGAAAGCAGCTCTTGTTCGCCATTTCAGCTGCCACATATTTGATTAAGCTACAACATCAGCAATGGAAAGCAGTACTGGAGTTGGAGGTTTATACTTCCAAAGCCACCACATCAGCTATATAATATTATAGTTTGGTGTTTGATTGGAATTGTGCCAACACTAAACTATACAGTAGGTAGTCATGTGAAAAGTGGGTGACATGACAGAGAAAAGAAAGGTGTGAGAGTTGTAGCAGTAGTGTTCATACCCGTAGTCTGTGGTGAGGCCAGGTGGCAGAGCATCTGATGATGGTCTCCAGGACAAATGGAGAGGAATAGGGAGATGGCCCACTCTCCTCCAACTTCTTTGAGAAAAACTCTACCACCTACACACATACGTATGGGGTACCAGTCAGAAAGAACGCACCAAAAATACAAAGTGGTTACTACACTACAAAAACGTACTGTGGTATCCAGTGTATCCAGGTATGCAGAGTTTACACTACTGCAATCGTATTGTAGTGTAATACAAGGAATTACACAGTGTAGTTTTTGTGTAACTACAAATAAACGTAGTGTAGTTTTTTTCTGACTGGTACTGTACAACATCTGGGTGAATTTGAAGTCACATATAGCTACAGTAGAACCTCTGATAAAGGACCCTCTGAGATAGAGACAACCTCTCTACAAAGGACACTTGTTTCAACTCCATGCTAATACTTTAGCGTATTATTCGACCTCTCAGATAGGGATGACCTCTCTACAAAGGACACTTGTTTCAACTCCATGCTAATACTTTAGTGTATTATTCGACCTCTGAGATAGGGACGACCTCTCTACAAAGGACACTTGTTTCAACCCCATGATACTTTAGTGTATTATTCGACCTCTGAGACGACCTCTCTACAAGGGACAAAATCATTGGTCCCATAGTGTCCCTTGTTCAGAAGGTTCCAGTGTATGCATACAACACCAGAGTGAATTTGCATTTGATTATAGTTTTTCTGAATGTTTGTTATGCAGATATCAAATTGTGAAACGGAATATTGGGAACCGTTTCTAAAGGAAGGAGAGGGAGAGAAGTAAACTCACACTGAGGATGTTCCTGACGAGGTCCATGAGGGGAGGGGAGGTGTGTAGCGGGGAGAACACCTCTCTCTGGTAGAGGAGGCAGTAGACCAGGTGGGGGTTGGTCGCCAGACGATGTGCCAGACACGAGTTGACAATCTCCAGTATCATCACCAGAATCTCCTCCACTACCCCCACCTCTGTACTCTGGATGTATTAGATGACCAGAGGTATGTACTAATTATACACTTGCCTTGTTTGTAATTATTGTGGAACCCCTGAATAATGAACATGTTGGGACCTGGCATTGCGTTAAAAAAAAGGGAAAAGTAATGCTTGCCACCTGAAAGTTTGTCTTATTTTGACTGTTTTTCTACTGTCAGAGTGTCCTCATCGGAGGTGCTACTTTACTGTACTGTTCTACAACACAATAATGCAGAGTTAATTAATAATGTATCTGCATAATTATTGTGTTGTACAAGTCACTCACATAATCTGCACTCTCTCTGAACACAGCCTCAGAGTCTGGGGATAGGGGTGTGGCTGAAGTGGGCGTGGTTGTGGGTGTGGTCTTCTGTGTCATCCTGTGGTACTTTTTAGCCAGTTGCTTGAACAATCTGCAAAAACGCAACTTTACCTTCATTTCATCTCATTCGGCTCAACTACACACAACTTACTGCATGTCTCAACAACTTTGTAACGAGGTAGAAAGGCAAGGCAAGGCAAACAAGTCAACTACACCCAGGACAGCTCTTTGTTTTCAAAGAAAAGAAGAAGAGCTGCCCTAGGTGGGATTCGAACCTATGACACTCTGCAGTCTAGGTGAGCGCTCTACCAAAATGAGCTATACAGGGCATGTAACACCTTCAGGCTGCTACATTAGTTCAGTCCATAAATGCTCAGTTTATAGAAACGATGTGACGTTACATGTACTGACACACACATATGTGAGGGGGCATGGGAAAAGGGACCTATATGGCTGGAATGTGAAAATTAAGTTTTTGTGGTTTTTCACCCTCAAAAACTTAATTCTCACATTCCAGCCATATAGGTCCCTTTTCCCATGCCCCCTCACATATTATGTCTATTGTTAAGCATTACAGTATAGCAACTGTTCAGCCCAATCAGTTAAACAGAATGTAGCATGGGGTGTAGAAATGTCAAAAACGGAAGCCTAAATGCATCTTTGCACTTATATTGTTTAGTTCAATCTCAATCAATCTTACGTAACATTTCTAAGTTTAGCCATTGTTCACTGTCACATTCCCATTAAACCAATTTCTCTTACGTGACAATCTTCTGGGCGGCATCGAGATGAAGGGAGTTGAAGTGGGAAGACATGTTAGCCAGTGCAGCAAGACAGTTGGTGTGGAGATACTTGTCCTGCAGAGAGAGAGAGGAGAATACTGAAACACATTGCATCCAGTCTAGTGTATACTGTACATGTAGTAGTATGTTTATACCTGAATGTGGGATATGTTGGCCTGGATAGTTCTGACCAGGACTATTACCATCAGACTACCAACTGATATGTTGGTCAGTGATCTCTCAGAGTACCACTCCACCTTCTGGAGATGCTGGGGGGAGGAAATGGGGAAGGAAATGAGGGAGGAAATGGAGGAGGAAATGGGGGAAGGGGAATACAGTAATAAGGGACCCTCCGAGATAGGGATGACCTCTCTACAAAGCGACCTCTCTACAAGGGACAAAATCATTGGCCCCATAGTGCCCCTTGTTCGGAGGTTCCACTGCAAATGTACCAGTTCGTGTATGGACTTGTTGAAGCAGTCGTCTTGAGAGAAGATGAGGAGAACAATGAGTAGCATGTAGACATGATGGGCACTGGAGGGCTGCTGACTGGAGCCATGGAGATGATGGAGGAGAGGAACCACCTGATATAGGGGGAGGAGGGGGCCAAGAATGAAGTCTGAGCGTGCAGCTAGAGTAAACGTAATTGGGGAGTGAGAAAACTAGGAACTGAAGGGAATGTGGCAGTTCACACATGAGCTTCGTCAACTTTGTAAGACTATAGTACATTTCTTGCCAGTATAATGAGAGAGAGGCAAGAGATTAGACAGACAAAAAGACAGAATATGATAGGAATATACAAGCTGAAGACCCCAAGAGTTATAAAGTTAAGAAAGGAGGTCTCACGAGAAGGTCAATGTCAGATTGAGAGAAGATGAAAGATGCGACGTGAGGATTTCCCTGTAGCAGGAGATAGAGGAGGAGAGTTGTCTGCTCCGACAGGTTACTGGAGGGATGGAAGGAAGGAGGGAGGAAGGGAGGGAATGGAGTGATGGAGGGAGAAGAAGTATATTGTACAGTATATATAATTAAAAATCCTGCGAATTTAAAAAAAGAGGCATATAGGGATGGTATAAAAAGAAAGGGAGACAAGATAGGGATTGGATACATGAAGCATGGTTAATGAACAGATTTGAGTATGCTGACACCCCCAACCCCATCACACAAACCTTATATTGTTGCCTGGTGTGCTACTCTTATAGGGGCTAAAGGTTACTAAAAGCAAGCATTCTTTCACCTTGTCCCTGTTGTTTTTAGTAACATTTATACTGCCACATTCCCTTTTAAACTCCACTTGGACTCTATAAGGGTGTTGGTTACTCAGTAGTGTATTGTAAGTTCTGAGTATTGTAATGGTGAATGTTCAATACTTCACCTAGGCAACAATATAAGGATTGTGTGATGGGGTTGGGGGTGTCAGCATACTCAAATCTGTTCATTAACCATGCTTCATGTATCCAATCCCTATCTTGTCTCCCTTTCTTTTTATACGATCCCTATATGCCTCTTTTTTAAATTCGCAGGATTTTTAATTTACTTGTCTCCACTCATTTTTATATACTACTACGTATTATCTCTGTGGAAGGGGGCAAGCCCCTATAAAAAATGTTAATAGAGAAAAAATGCCTGTTGTCGTCACGGAAGAGGTAATTTTAAAGAAAAGTGCCTGAGGCTATTTGTTGTTGTGGTCGTCATGGAAATGATGTTACACACATGCGTACCAAGTTTCATCTCCATGCGTGGTACCGTTAGCGAGTTTGAGGAGTGAAGAAGTAATTTTAAAGAAAAGTGCCTGAGGTTATTTGTTGTTGTGGACGTCATGGAAACAATGTAATACACATGCGCACCAAGTTTCACCTCCATGCATGCTACAGTTAGCAAGTTTGAGGAGTGAAGAAGTAATTTTAAAGTAAAGTGCCTGAGGCTTTTTGTTGTTGTAGTTGTCATGGAAACGATGTAATACACATGCGCACCAAGTTTCACCTCCATGTGTGTTATAGTTAGCAAGTTTGAGGAGTGAAGAAGTAAATTTAAAGAAAAGTGCCTGAGGCTATTTGTTGTTGTTTATCAATGTGTATTGTTGTGTTTTTGATGTTGGGTATCGAATACATTATGTATACAAAGTTTCGTTCACATAGCTCTTACAATTAATGTGAATTACACTGACACATGTAGTATGCCCATTAAAATGTATTGTCCATTATAATGTATTGCCTGGGGCAATTTTGTTGTTGTTTACAGTAAACAACATTGTTTACAAACAAAAAAGTATGATGAGTCCCATGTGGTTATCGATATGTACATTCCTACAAAATTTCATGGCTTTATCTCTTTCGGTTTTTGAGTTACGCTGGTCGAAGAAGAAGAAGAAGAAGAAGAAGATGAACAAAACTCCCTATCATAGCCCCATACATCTATGATGCTAGGTACCATGTCAATCCCTATCAGGACTAAATTTACAAGATACTGTTACTAAAACGTGGAAACTTAATTGCATACTTGCACTGGGCCACCATTGCTACTTTAGTAGTGTTTCTAAATTTAGTCCTGACACATTACATAACTTTTAAAGTGTGACATGCTCTAACATGATGTTCACACATGAGCTTCGTCAACTTTGTAAGACTATAGTGTACATTTCTTGCCAGTGTAAGGAGAGAGAGCTAAGAGATTAGACAGACATAAAGACAGAATATGATAGGTGTATATACAAGCTGAAGACCCCAAGAGTTATAAAGTAAGAATGGAGGTCTTACCAGAAGGTCAATGTCAGATCGAGAGAAGATGAAAGATGCGACGTGAGGATTTCCCTGTAGCAGGAGATAGAGGAGCAGAGTCGTCTGCTCCGACAGGTTACTGGAGGAGGGAGAGAGGGAGGGAGGAAGGGAGGGAGGGAGGAGTGGAGTGAGGGGGATGGGGGGAAGTGAGGGAGTGGAGTGAGGGAGGGAATGGAGTGGAGTGAGGGAGGCAGAAGAAAAGAGACTATTACACGAATGCAGAGCATTTGTGTAGCGTGGGAAAGATAGCGGCATACACACTACGGCACATGCAAGAAATGAGTAATCCAAATGACAGAGCATGCACAGTTAGACGATGTACCAAAGTAGACAATTGCGACTGTTTGGTCCACTGCAATATAATACCTAGCTACACATAACTCCTGCTTGCCAACAAGAGAGGTTGGACAGAAAGGAAAAAGGAAGACAGGGGGGAGGGGAAGATGGATACAGAGGCTAGTAGTCATCAGAAATGGTAATTATCAGAAAACGGAAAAAACACACAAGTAAGCATTTCACTGACTTGCAGAGAGAGAGGTACAGTTTCTGGAGGTTGAGAGAGAATGGGGCCCTGGTCTTCCTGCTGCTGTGTTCGTCAGTGAACTGTAGCAGGGACCGACGGTATGGATTCTGGCCACACATCTGCTGATGGGTGAGCACTAATAGGAGTAGTACGCCCGTCGGCCAGTGTGGAGGGAGGCTGGGTGGCTGCAGCTGTTGATGACATCATCGACCAAATACCAGAGAGAGGAAGAAGGAGCGAGAGAGCGAGAGGAGGAGAGGGCAGGAGAGGAAAGAGTTTACTCGAGTCTGGTGGGGCCAGCGCTTCAGTTTACGCAGCGCCTTCTTCAGCCTCACCAGCTGAGCGGTCAGCTGTGTGCTACAAGCCTTCGTACACGCCGCTGCTGGGAGGCAGAGAATGGGCAAAGTGAGGCAAAGTAAAGAGGATGAAATCAAAGATGCAGAGTATGCCTGGTTCGACTGTGGGTGGAGGGAGGGGGTGGAATTACTCACAACCAAAATCTGTATACCACTTGCTATACTGAAACAATGACGTGCAGTAAGAGTGATGTAATAGTGATGTAATGCCCGTACGTAGGTAGGGAGAGAATGTGTTGTAGGAGAATCCCAGAGCCGGAGGAGAAGCCATACATCTGGGAGGAGAGGAAGACGAGGAGTAGAGACATTGCTTCCTCATGGCCGGAGTAGGTCGTGGGTCTGGGGGAGTCGGGGTGTGTGTGTGTGTGCGGGTGAAGTGAGAGTAAAGACGAAAAAAGGGGGTAGAAAGAAAGAAAAAAGGTTTAAAGGCATAGGGAGGAAAATAAGAGGAGAAAGAGATAGACAAACTAAGCATAAGTCATAAGTGAGGTATGTAAGTACGAAAGCAAAGGAAGAGTTGAACTGTTTTCACAATAATTATTTCTCCTTAATGTGGTTGACACAGACATGTGCATGTAAAATTCTGCGAGGAAGTACTAATTATGTACTTCAATATATTATTTAACCTCCGAGATAGGGACGACCTCTGCAAGCGATGAAAATCATTGGCCTCATAGTTTTGTGGTTTCACTGTAAACAAAATGCAAAATGTACTGGACCAACTGTAGTTTGACACAATCAACCCCATGTGCTCCCTGCTGTCTCACTCACACGTCATAGATCTTCATGTCCCTGTCGTCAGAGGCGGTAACGAGAAGCTGGGAATCAGGAGAGAAGCAGAGAGATCTGACTGGCATGGCGTGGCCCTCCAGAGTGTGCAGGAGAGCTCCAGTGGCCACGTCAAAGATTCCGTCCACTGCACCACTCGCTATCAACTTCCCATCTGGACTCTAGTGGGAGAGGGGTTAATGGGATCACATGATGTCATGTGACCCACATAGGTGACGTGTGACTCACGTGGGTGACGCTCATGATGAATTTGCCGCGGGTGTCCAGAGAACTCGCTTTCTTTCCTTCCGATGCACTGAAGGTTGATCTTACCATTGTGACTACCTGTTGCTATGAACTAGAGAGGGAGGGAGAGAAAAACAACATGCTCTCTATTATGTACTGCTTTAGAAGAAATCTTCAGGAGTTAAGAATGAAGTTTGTGTAAAATGAAAAACAGGACACCAATGGGACAGAATAAAGTGTCCATATTAGTGAGGTGTCCTTATTTCACGGGTTAAAATGCATGCAAGAACTGTTCTTGGGGAAAGAATAATTTAGAGAGGTGTCCTCATATCACGGGTTTCCTAAGAAAGAGGTTCCACTGTAACTCAGAGGAGGATACGAGATGTGTACCTGTGAGTCAGGGGAGAAGGTGAGTGTCCACACATCCACTGGACCTCCGTCAATACTCCTGACACATTCTCCTGTGGTGAGGTCCCATGTCCTGATACCACCATCCAGACCACTGCTGGCTCCCACTACATCCACACACAACAATCATCACAGACTATACTAGAGGTTTGGCAAGTGAAGAGAGCAGTTTTTTTTCCGCGTGTTTCACGTATATTTAGAATCTACGGCACATGTCACAATGTAGAAAATTGCCACATTTGAAACGACTAGGAAGGCAATGTTGTGGCTTTGTTTACCTGTTCCAGTGGGGTTGGTTGCCACGGAGACGATTCCCTAATTGATGCCCCTCAAAGGTCCACTTTGGCTCTAATAGGGACCTCCCATCATCCCCGTACATAAATATCAATGGCGTAATGATCATATTCATGCTATAAACAGAAGCCCACCACGCCCACACTCGGACTGTGTTGTCGACAGAGCCAGACACAATGAGCTCCTGGTCCAAGGTCTCATTCCGAGACCAGGCCAAGCCCCACAAGCTGTCGGAATGGGCTGGAGACAACAGCAATCTCAGTAGCTGATGACATCACACTAACCTCTATGTTAAATCTTTTAGTCTGGTCCCATAACAACTGAACTCTTCAGCCGAAGTACGGGTCCATGTTACCGCAAAGGGTGAAGGGCTTCGCGTGCAGACAAACCAAGAGTATCATCTGCGATCCCTGAGCAATCTTCTTCAGGCAAGTGAACTAAAATTCACATTCACTAACACACAATATCGCTCCCATTTTTAGCCTCTGTATTATTGCCCCTCGTTTTTGCAGAACGGGGACGTCTCTCCCTTTCTCTGCGTGTATTCGTCTGTATACATATATACTCGTATAGTTATACCAGAGCCAGTCATGGAGATGGTGAAAGATCCGAAGTGGGTCTCTCCATTCTCGTCTAAGAAGATTCAGCCGTTGTCCACACTAGCGGTTGACGAGGAGGACATGGAGACGCGGCCAGAGGAGAGAGATACATAACTTTCTACTATACTGCTGGACCGACGATGAAGGATTGCTCACTGCTCCACGTGCACAAGCTCGACTAGCGATTAATTACGCGCATGAGATCATCAGTGCGCGCGCATGCGATAAATAATTCAGCAGAGGAAGCGCGCATTGGTGAATATGTTTCAGAAACTGAGAACGGGAAATGCAAATGGAATGGAGCGGAGCCTTGTGCTGTATGTTGTGTGCAGTGAATGATGGATGGTAAGGAGAAAACAGACAGTGGGTGGTACTTCTTCTCTAACATATCTCTGCTGTTGTATATATGGGTGTGGAGCAGTGCCTGATGATCATCTTTAGGGGTGGAAGCACACTTAGCCCCCACCGCTTGAATTGTACGTGAGTGGGTGGCTTTGATTGCGCACATGCACGTCAGACACAGTCAGAGTGAGAAGGAAAATGTGATATACATGTGCTGCCTGCTGACACACACATAGTGAGAGAAGTACAGAAAGAGGTTGTGACAATCCACGCTAATGTACAACATAACAGACTAAGACAAAAAGTAGTAAAGAAATCCGACTGCCACAAAGATCAGAATGCCGAAAACTATCACCAGTTTCCACAAACAGCCTTGCCCTGCAAAACATACAGAGGTGCTAGGCATAGAACATACACATTGAGTCGTTTACAGATCCCCTTTAGTGGTAGTATACATGAGTGTCCAGTTATAGGCATGTGCTATGCATTATGTAAAGCCACACACTTACCAACTGCAATTTGTGTCCTCTGAGTGTGAAACGTGGACATATTATCAAGTAGGAGGCATGCATGGTAAAATAAGATTCTGGAGCGGAGAAGGCCGGGGAAGCTGGTGAAACGGACGGCTGCCGAGGTGAGTGTGCGTAAATAGAGATGCCGGACGATCGCTGTACTTGGTGCTAGATGCTTTACGCGTGTGAAGATTTGCTAGTTTGCCAGTATTGATGGTACAGTTGAGTAGGAGCGAGTGAAGTGAGAGCCAGGGAGCGAATCTGTTCAGTGAGGAGTCACTGAGGTAGTGTAGCTAGGCTGCTGAATGTAGGCTCTAATAAACTACTATTTTCATTCGGAAGTGCCTTTGGACAGCTTTGCGCAAAAGTGACTGCAGTATACAAAACACGGAGATGAGAAGAAAGTGAGTGTGGTATAGAGATGAGAAGAAAGTGGGCATGGTATTGAGGTGAGAAGAAAGTGAGTGTGGCATAATATAGAGATGAGAAGAAAGTGAGTGTGGTATAGGGGCGAAAAGAAAGTGAGTGTGGTATATATAGAGATGAGAAGTGAGTGTGGTATAGAGATGAGAAGAAAGTGTGTGTGGTATAGAGACGAGAAGTGAGTGCGGTATAGAGATGAGAAGTGAGTGTGGTATATATAGAGATGAGAAGTGAGTGTGGTATAGAGACGAGAAGGAAGAGAGTGTGGTATAGAGATGAGAAGAAAGTGAGTGTGGTATAGGGGTGAAAAGAAAGTGAGTGCGGTATATAGAGACGAGAAGTGAGTGCGGTATAGAGACGAGAAGTGAGTGCGGTATAGAGATGAGAAGTGAGTGTGGTATAGAGATGAGAAGAAAGTGAGTGTGGTATAGAGACGAGAAGTGAGTGCGGTATAGAGACGAGAAGTGAGTGCGGTATAGAGATGAGAAGTGAGTGTGGTATAGAGATGAAAAGAAGGTGAGTGCGGTATAGAGATGAGAAGAAAGTGAGTCCGGTATAGAGACGAGAAGAAAGTGAGTGCGGTATAGAGACGAGAAGTGAGTGCGGTATAGAGACGAGAAGTGAGTGCGGTGTAGAGATGAGAAGTGAGTGTGGTATAGAGATGAGAAGAAAGTGAGTGTGGTATAGGATGAGAAGAAAGTGAGTGCGGTATAGAGATGTGGTGTACAAAACATGGGTGGTTAAAATTTTTCGGCCTGGACTTTGTCTGCGAGAGCAAAAAGTTTGGTGTCTCTGAGAGCCTTGACCAGAGTCTCCCACGCCACGGGAAGTAGTCCCTTTCCTCTGAGCCACTCCCCCAGAATGCTGCGACAAATCCTCTTTGGATTACCGCAGTACTTGTCCTCGATGACGTCCACTTTATCCCCCGTCTCGTCATTGAGGAGGAAAGTTCCGAATGTAGTGTAGCTTGTGGCAATTCCCTCAGGGATTTCCAGACGAAGTAGCTCTTGTAGAGTGGGTCGACAGACACCGTCACCTGCGAAGAAAGTGAGAGAGAGAGAGCAATAACTAAAGGTAAGAGTCAGTCAATACATTAGGGGTATAGATGCATACACACATCACGTGGTGGTAGGGAAGATTGTTTCTAAAAGAGGCTCACCATGAGTTGTGCTAGCAGTGGAGGAGAGAGGAATAGCAGCTGTGGCAGTAGTGGAGGAGGTAGAGGAACACTCGATTGCTGAGTATAGAGAGACAGTAGAAGGGAACAAACAACAAACGGTCATTAATGCTCTCGAAGAGGGGACTCACCAGGACTGGAGGAGACAGGATGAGGAGCTGTGGAGACACTAGCAGCAGTGGAGGAGGTAGAGAAAGATTGGCTGACTGTAGAGAGTAGAATAGTGGAATAAAGGGTCAACTTTATGTCCAAACAAAGAGGAAAGAAGACTCACCAGGAGTGATGGTAGTAGAAGAGTACAGGGAGAGAGAGGGAACAGAGGCAATTGGATAGGAGACTATGAAACACTCTGACACTTTAAGGGAACATGAATCAATATCAAAATAGGGCACATAGAGATGCAAGGACTCACCAGGAGTGTTGGTAGTAGTGGTGGCAGTGGTAGAGGAGGCAGGAGCTGTGGAGACAGAGAGGGGAGGCTGGGAGGTGGGGGGAACTGAAGAGGAGAGGGTGTGGCATTTTATGAATGTGAAGTTGTCTGTAATTCTATCATCATCTGAAAGTACACAGTACAGCTACTGTATACATTATACCATTTGGGTTTGCATGTGATTTCTTCTCTTTTTCACTTCTTCTCCTTTTCACACCACCTCTTTGTCCTATGATGCACAATTATACAATTTGTCAATGTATATTATAGCTTGGGAAAAACATTTACAGAGTACAGCTACTGTATACATTATACCCTTTGGGTTTGCATGTGACTTCTGGTCTTTTTCACTTCTTCTCCTTTTCACGCCACCTCTTTGCCCTATGATGCACAATTATACAATTTCTCATTGTTATTATTATATAGGGTATTACCAGTCAAGGGTTCCTGTGTGCTTTCGCCCTGGCTTCCTAAAAGTGGTAAAAGTTGTACATAAAAATCATCTAAATCCACACTGCAACTTGAAATGGAGGTACCATTGGTGTTAGAAGGTGAGGGTAGGTCTTGAGTCTCTTCACTTCCTTCCTGTTGTGCCTCTATATTATGTAAGTAGTGAGAGGGCAGTACATGAATAGATGAAAGTGAACTGAGGAACAACCACCCACTAAAACGTGAAGTTCCCCCAAGGCAAAAGCCATAGAAGTCCACCCTTTTTGACTGGTAGTTTTTGTATGCAATATCTTGTATGCAATATCTTGTATGCCTTTTCAAGTGCGCTCATATATAGCTGGTTGCACTACTGTTTGAAGATTGTCCCCCACCTTACCTTTGTCAGCATTATTACCAGTTACAGCTTCTTGTGTGCTTCTGCCTTCGTTTCCTAAAAAAAAATCTATACTCACACTTCAATTTGAAATGGTACCATTGTTGTTAGAAGGTGATGGTAACCCCAATGCACGAAATTAGACCAAAAAAATTCGTGGACAATTTGTCTGAGCACAATCAATTTCGTTCTGCCTTAAGAAAAAGTTATGCGTTTGGTTGGCATTATACCTGAAGGATGCTTGGAGACCTCTCTTCGTTACATTCACGGACTTGCTGCGGTCTCTAGCTGAACTAAGAAGCCACATGCTGAGCCTCGAGTAACCAAACCCTCACCGCAGACGGCGCGCGCGGAAGTGAGGCTGGTAAAGAAGGAGTAGCTAGCTAGATCATCAGCTTACGCGCTATATTATGCGCGCACGCCCGGCCCGTTTAACGCGGAACCACATGTTTTTTAATTGCGTCTGTGCGGGCCCGTTTTCGTCGGACAGTAAGGCAGAACCGGATAAGTGCCGCAAATGCTCGGAAAATGTCCGATGTCCGACTGTAATTTCATGCACTGTGGTAGGTCTTGCCTTCCTTCCTGTTGTGCCTCTGTATGTATGTTTGGGAGGCATAGGCTAAAAGCAGTAAGTGAACTGAGGAACAACCACCCACTAAATTGTGGAGTTTCCTTGGCAAAAGCCATAGAAGTCAGCCTTTTTTTTGACAGGTAGCGTGCTTTTTCTAGTGCGTTTCTACTTCAAAGTTGTCATGCGCTACTGCTAGAAGAGTGTCTCCTCTCCCTGTTACCTTACCTCTGTCGGAAGGTGAAGGGAGTCCAAAGTGTAGCTCAAGGTCTGTGGCAAGAGAGTTCAGTTGGACATCTCTGAAACACTTGATCAGTTTCTTCCACGAGTGACCTTTATCTTCTTGCATCCATTTTTCGTATATCATTCTAGCAGCTTCAAGTTGTTCACCACGTGCAGTCTTTGCTATTCCACGGACAACTGCCCCGGTACGATCTCTCAGTAAGAAGACCCCAATGTCCATGAATTTCACTGCACTCTCTTCCACTATTCTGATATGTCCCTTTGATGTTGATAGTTTTATCAGGTCATGCAGCATTACCTGCCCTGGAATGGAACAAATACAATGCCAAAATTCCCAATTTATGACGTGCGGACATTTAGTGGCATCGTCTCAACAGAACACTTTGAGAAAAGGCCTGCCCCAAAGCACCTCCTTCATCAGTACCATTACCATACATTTCTGCGAAATGACCATTTTCACACAAGCATGGAATTGAGCATTTCACATATTTTAGCCTCAGAGTGACAATGGAGGCTTTAGGCGTTAAGCACATATAATCATACATGCATTAACAGCAAAACAGATCTTGCAACTCACCAGGACTAGGAGGAGGACCAGGAGCAGTGGTAGGAGCATTGGTTGGAACAGTGGCAGGAGTGGTGGTAGGAGCAGTGGTATGAGTGGTGGTAGGAACAGTGGCAGGAGTGGTGGTAGGAGCAGTGGCAGGAGTGGTGGTAGGAACAGTGGCAGGAGCGGTGGTAGGAACAGTGGTAGGAGTGGTGGTAGAAGTGGCTGTAGGAGCAGTAGTGGGGGCAGAGGAGGTAGGAGAGAGGGGGGTCTCTATAGAGGGAGAGAGAAGATCCTGAATTAGCTACAAGAATATGGTAAATCTTGGGATCAAGCCATATGGCAGGCTACTACAGTAATGCAGTAAGATTTCCAAAGTGTGAATCAGGGGATTTCCCTGAAACATAATAGTATAGCTCATGAACACATCCATGTTATCCATAAAAATCACAGTTTCTAATGTTCACTTGAACAAGTAACTAACGGTGAGTGATGCATGGTTCATACACGAATATGAAAGACATCTGCATAACAAAATCTCAGCATATCTATTTACCGGAAAGTGAAGGAAGCCCAAAGTGGTTTTCAAGGTCCCGGGCAAGAGAATGAAGCCCAACATCTTTGAAACATTGTGTTAGTTTTCTCCACGAGTGACCTTCGTCTGTACGTATCCATCTTTTGTATATCAATCTTATTGCTTTTTTGGGGTCTTCATTTGCTACTTCTGATATTGAGTCAACCAACGCAGTAGTAAGAAGCTTGGTTCCAATGTTCTTATAGAGCTCTGCACTTTTCTCCACAATCCTTACATCCCCATTATCTGTTTTTAGTCTTTTTAACTGACGCATGCATACCAGTTCTGGAATAAACAATAACAACAAAGTCATTGTAACCAAACATACTGCAGTACATGTTGCCCTGGTAGCTCAAGGTGGTATATAGATCACTAGCCTAGACTGCAGAGTGTCGTGGGTTCGAATCCCACCTAGGGCAGCTCTTCTTTTCCTTTGTAAAAATAAGAGCTGTCCTGGGTGTAGTTGACTTATTTGTTCTGCTTTTGCCTTTCTACCTTGTAGTTTTCACGTACCTCCTCCTTGGTTCTGTGCCTCAACCGGGTACTTCATTAATGCTAAAAGGAGACCGGATAGGATATATCAACAATACACTCTACCGTGCTAAGTAGTCTAGTGAGAAAGTACTTTATGTTTACAATTTTGCGCAGTAGCTAACTTGTTTAGAATAATGTACATGGTAAGAAACCTTTTCGTTTTCATGCATGCTGCCGTGTTGTAAGTCATGATGATGGAAGAGGACGCTTTGTACACACGTACTGCACTATATAAGTGACGTGCTGGAATGTGGAATGCTCGGAACCTATATACACTCAGGCAATGTAGTGTGTTCAGTACATCACCGTTTTGTTTTTGGGTTTCTGAATTTATCTACGTCCCTAGAATTCAGCATCTATCAATAGTTATATGGAACATACCTGGTTCAGCTTTAATCCAAAGACTTTCACATTCCTCCTTCAGCCCACACTTGCACCTAGCATGATTTGTTTTAAGGTATTTGGTGTTCTCACAGTCACACTCAAACCCTTCTGCAACACTGAGGTTAACCTTCATTGTTTTTAAAACTTTTCCAACTGCTTCTTTTATTTCACTTCTAATTGCAGGAAGCTTCTTGTATTCATCTTTATTGTCTGGATCTACACCTACATAGACCTCAAAATACTTGGTCTTGTTGACGAGAGTTACTTCTAAGCTTAGATCTTTCGGACAAAGTATAGCCATGTCATGATAAAAGCACACTGGAACTTCGTGATATAAAACATCAGTACAGTATATTCCCCAATTGAAGTCGGTAATGAGGCAAGCAATAGTGCTGCCAAAACAACCACTGGGAGAGCAGTATTGTTGCCATTTAGGGGGATCACCAATGCCAAAGTCTAGTCTTAGTGGCTGCACTGGGTGACACGTCGTGAAAACCAGCTTCCTTGACTCTAACTCCTTTACAGATAATCGTGGAAGCAAGCACATCATGATATAGTCATTTTCCGAATTCTTAGCAATGATATAGAGATTTTCAAAGACTTTAATAGCATGACGAGCTTCAAATATTTCAGGAACAAATATATGTTGCATTCTTTTTAAAATTGCTTCTGTAATCAATCCTTTGCTAAGAGAATCTCTCACACTACCTATAAGTATTGGACCTTCATCCTCTTTTGTAGCCTCATAGCTGAAGAATATAACACTATTCACGAAGTCAATGAGGGTGTTTTGATCCAGAATTACAAGCCCTTGGCCTATATCTTCGAAAAACAACATGATGCTATTCTTATTGAAGTATTTCAGAGCATTTTTAACAGCATACTCATTCATTTTTAGTCTTCTTCCTAAGTCAAAACCTTCTTCCAGTTTTAAGACATTAACCGTTCTTTTTAATTCCTTCATGTGAACCATGGCTTCCCTTTCAAACATAACATATGACAAAGGAACATCAAGCTCCTTCATCTCCTTCATTTCTTGTGCAACTGTTTTACGTATTGCACGTAGAGTATCTGTGTCAGGATCAAGTAAATTTATATCAAAAACACTCTCATCTGTTGCTTTGGTGTACACTGATTTACGAGGAAGAGCTACAGTTCTCTTAAAAGGTGTTTAATTTTTCTTTAGTGTTTTTACAGTTTTGTTTCTTCTTCATCTTTAACCCTGTCTTTATGAGTAGCACTAACAAAGATTCTTGCGTTAGCGTCGTTTCCCTCACCTTGTGTCTGCACACGAGTCTTGGGCAACGTTGCTGACTAGTTCTTTATGCAGTAAGTCGACTCTTTTTCTTAAAAGGACAGTCATCTTTATGAAAAGTAGGTATTGTACATTCATCAAGAGATACTGACAGGTCTACCACCAAAAGTATGAGATGTGCATTGTGAATCAAGAAAGGCATGATTTCCAGACATTCTGGCTGTCCACCTGTATCAATCATATGTACAATCTCTAATTTGCCATAATATTTCTTTGGGTTCTTACGAATCTTTGCCATCATTTCTTTAAAAGAAAGTGGCATTTGTTTATTTACAGGATTTTTAGTTACGACTTGGCCCAATTGAAATTTCTTCGGGTGGCTTTGTTGATTCAGGGGACACATGTTCATGTCTTGCCTTTCCCCCATCTCCATCTTTGTGTAATTCTGTGCTGTTAGCATGCAATTCCATTTGCCTTAGTATTGAAACATCTTTTTCCCTTCTTGTAGGCTGAGAAGTTTGGTCAACTTTGCTGTATTGAATGAACATTTCCCCTTTTTTGAGTCTGATCATCTTTTTCTTCATACGGAATGTATACTTTGACCTTAGCTACCAGTTCAAACATATCCTCATCATTCTCAATGAGCTTAAACTCATTCTCATTAGCTTTTGTCATATTATATGGAGTAAGCCCTCGCCAGGGCTGATTTTTAACCCCTGTGCTAGTGTATTCCTTGGGGAGAGGTTCACCAAACAATTGGCGCAGAAGTGTGGTTTTACCAGCCTCCATTAGACCAGTGATAACTACTACCATATTCTTTTGCTTAAATCTTCCTTTCTCAATGGTCACTTTGGTAAAGAGAGAAAAACATGATAAATGGTAAAGTACGAGGATACAATTGTAAATGCTCTGCATTTTTGGTGAGCGGGGGTGACACAATAATGTGAAGCATAAGGTGCCCACATGTGCTTATTTAGTGTGCAAATAACAGAGCAAGGAGCTGTGATTTGCACTTCACAATCTTCTTACGCTCAGCTAGCCATGGCATGGACCTCTGGGCCGTGGGAGAGTATAGGAGCGCCAACAGAAGCAGGGAGAGCGAGGCACATACTTTCATGCGCATTAGATACGGCAGCCAACTTAACTCTCTATATACCAAACTAAGAACTACCCACTAGAGTTAGCCATCGTCTGTAAAGGTGCGATGCTTAATCGGTTCCATATATATATCTGGTGGGTAATCAACATAGGATACACTGAGAGCTTTGAAGAACAGCAGGATTGTGTGCGAAGCACCAGTAACTTACTGTGCATGTCACTCACAGACGCGCACATATAGTCTACCTAAGGGTTTGGCTCAAGCAAGTCAGATACTGGCTGCTTGGTTTCAGATTTCTTAACCTCGGTCACTATTTCAACTCTCTTCTCCATGAGATCCCACTCAGGTCGCAGGTGTCTGATTATCAGTGTGTTTTAATGGTTCACTCCCGTTCACCAATAACATTTGGTGCTATTATAAGGGGCAGTACAATGAACTAAACATAGGGTTAACTCTATCTACAAAACTTTTCAGTGTATGCATGCAAGGTGCCTGAACTTTGCCATGCAAAGTTACTTAAACTCACAGGTAGACAGCCATGGAATAGAGTCCATGTCAATGTCTCCAAACTTTGCAGTGTTGACTGAGCAAGTCCAAACTCCTAGCTTAATAGTAGCGGGGTGGGGTTTAGCTGGGTGGGGGTGGGCGGGGCATACGATAGCTGGGATTGGAGTGTTGTCCGTGTAGCCGATGGTCTTCCCTGCTTTCTGGAGACCTGCAAACACTGCGTCGTGTGCCAGTTTCCACAGCTCGGCCTCGTGGTCCTCTGCTGTGCGTATGTGGAGTTCAAAGTGGGTGAAGTGATCGATAAGTGACACGGTGCCTGCGTAGTCTGAAACGGCGAACTCGATGACGTTGCGATGGAGGCATTCCGGAGCTCCTGTCTCGTTCTGGACCACTCTCCAGGGGCAGGGGTGACTGTTTTCGGGGGACAGAAGGTAAGCTACAGTGGAGCAGAACGTTCCCATCAGGGGACCACTGTCGGGGAAGTGAAGAGCCAGGGCTTTCCCGCCACTCACTCGGTGTTCCTCCACCACCTCCCACGCCACCACTTGCAGCAGACACGGCATAAAGTACACGTCCTCCGACATCTCCGCAAAAACCAGCAACCCCTTCAGCAGGGTCACCAGCTCCTTGGGTGTGAACAGGGGTGGCTCGTAGTGGCTCTCGAACTCCCCCAGAAACCTTTCCGTCACTTCGCCGTAGTCACGGAACCTCAGCCTCTTCCCCGACACGCCTTTCTTTCCCTGCCTCATGTGGTAGGTCTCCTCCACCAGCTCCGAGACCTTATCCAGCAACATCTGTGGCTCCATGAACACCAGCTGGGGCAGGATGTCGGGGAAGTAGAAAAGCATGTTCAGACCGTCAAAGAAGTTCAGGGCTTCCCCACACGACTCGTCATCCATCCTCATGGACTCTGCCACCTGCTGGCACAGCTCTCGAGGCAGCACCTTCTTCCCCAGTTCATTTGCCACCACCAGCAGCTTCTGGTACAGAGCGTACCATCGCAACGGCACTTTCACCTCCCTTCCCCCCTCCCCCTCCTTACTAAGACACTCCCGAATGCTCTCTGCACACTCCCTGTCCTCCTTCTCCGGTTTTGCCGCATTCAGTGTGAAGACAAAGTCTTCCCGTTTGGTATCGCAGTAGATGAGCTGCTCCCTGAACTGAGGCAAGAGGATCTCCCTCAGCCTCTTGTGGATAGTGTCCAGCACTCCGGGCAGCTGCTCGTCTGCCACCATGTCTCGGTGGGTGGCCAGAAACATCATTTTGGCGGGAGGGATGTCGGGGTTCTTGTTGTTCAGGGACCTCATGGTCCGCACGCACAGTCTCAGGGTCCCTTCGTTGGTCAGGTAGGCTGGGTACTTCCACACCAGCTTGCCGTCTTTGAAGTAACGGATCGTCGCTCGCTTGTCTAGAGACTCGTGGAGCTTCAAGACGTAGACGAATTTGGACGCACCCCTCAGGAAGACGGGCATCATCTCCAGAACCTCGGGCTGGCCGCCAGAGTCCAGCACGAGGAACTGCTTCAGTCGCAGGATGGGCTCCAGGGAGGGAGGAGCACTGTTGATGAGATGTACAAACCCCTCGTCCACAGCACTCGACAGCAGCAGGGAATCCAGCTTCCCTTCTGCCACCTGCCGCTCGCTGGCGCTGGGCTTCTCCTCCGAGGATGCTGTGCTCTTCCCGGCTGATTCAGACGTTGAGCTACTAGTCTTCTCTGGAGTTGGCTGAGCTGACTGGCTGGCTGCGGTGTGGGGAGACTGCTGGTCGGGGGAGGCTGGGTCACTACTGCTCTGTGCCACTGACTGTTGCCGTGGCATTCGCGACCGAATTACTTCAGCGATGGCGTCTGGCAGTTGGTCTAATGTTCGTTTCTTCCACTGTTTTTTGCCGTCGACGTCCACGAACACGACCTCGATTGGTCTTTTCATGACTGGAGTGCTGTGTCGGATGGTGGGAGGGTCCACTCCGAGCAGTGCAGCGAGGGAGCACGTCTTGCCACTGCCAGCCGTGCCAAACAGCAGCATTTTGTCAAGGTCCAGCTCAATGTGGCCTCGTTTCATCTCTTGCTCGTAGATCTGTTTGGAGCGGAATCTTCCTGCATGGGAGTAAAGTGTACATGTTGAAAGGAGTGTCAACCAACCAAGAAAGTCCACTGTACCAGTGGGGAACAGCTGCTGCAGACGATCCAATGCTCTGAGACAACTGCCGTCACTCACGTTCGGCTCAGTCATGTAGAAAGCCCATGCCACAAGAGTCCAGGATGGTGTTGGATGTGAGGAGATAAAGGAAAGAATGAGGGCCTGTTTGCACTCTCT